ATCGAGTGCGGCGGCGGCCTCGGCCTTGTGCTCATGCTGCAGCAGTGCCGGGTCGTGCTCCTCGGCGGCTCGATGGTGGCCTACTTTCCGTGCCCGTACGTGGACGCGCACGGGGAGGAGGACCAAGGGCTCCAGCGCGGCCGCCCGCTCAAGCTCGACCGCAGCCGGTACGCACTTTTGCAGACGCTCTGGCGCAGCCACCATCTCTTCCCTGAAGTCTCGCGCCTGCGCAACCAGCGCGAGAGCCAGCAGCCCATCAACTTAACCTACATTTAAACACAGCCCTGTTCCTTTGGAATACACTCTAGGATTGCGTCGTTGCCTGGATCGCGAGGCGGACGATGGCCTGCGGGTTGCCGTTGGCCGCCAACAGGATCGGGTGCGTGGCCAGTTCGCGCACGTGGCGGGGACTCGACGATGGCTGCAGCGAGAGCAGCGCAAAGTCTTGCTGCAGCTCGCTCTCGACAAACGTCTCGTCCGAGAGCGCGAGCTCTTCAAGGCGCTGCCGCGTCACGTGGTCTTGGCGGCGTTGGATCCAAAAGAGCATGAGCTCGGCGGATTCGATCGGGTCGAGTCGCCGCAGCTTGTGCCTACGCCCATGTCGTCGATACATTGATAATTTAGTGATCGAATCCGCGTACTTGGATTCGGGGTACTTGGGAATGAGACACGCCTTGGTGATCATGCTGCGCGCGGTGCAGACGACTTGGAGCTCCGGCGACTGCTTGAGTCAGTCGCAGAGGAGGTCGCGGAAGGTGAGGCGGTCCGCGTCGGTCGCTGTGAGCGCGTCGCAGCCGTCGAGAATGAGCACTGACGGCCACGAGTAGTCACTAGTCCAGAATAAGAAACGATTGTGCCATGCAAGCGGACTACCTTTCCGTGCCCTCGAGCGTCTGGCTCGTGTGCCAGAGGTGCGCCCACATGCTACACTGGTTGTTGCAGTTTCAAACGAATGAAAAAGGCGTACGTTGAGTTGGGTGGGGTCGCCGCCACGACGGTCGGGACGTGGAGGTAGCGCACTGGACTTGTCAGCCCCACGACCCACGACGTCCGCAGCGAAATGTGGCGAGCAAGCGCCTTGGCGACGGCAGATTTACCTGACCCGTAGACGTTAGCTGTTACATTCAGGAAAAGAGACGTGCGGACCAATGCCGGCTTCGCCCGTGATGGAAATGAGTCGTCGCTTGGACGAGAGGAGTTTGGTGATCTACGAAAAACGTGACTCCCTCTTGGACATCACCATCGCCAACTCTACCTTGAAGAGGTCGAGACTACGGTTGCAGAAACCCTAGTCTCGGTCGCGCATCAGCTCCAAAACGAGGGGGCAAACGACATGGTACGTACATCGCAGAGCGGAGGCAGGTTCTCGTAGAGCGGCGTCGGTCGGGGTACCACGCGGTGCCGCAGCTTGCGCTTCGGCTCGAGCGCAAAGAGCACTTCGGTATGGGGCGTCGTCGACGGCAACAAGACCATTTTCTACACGTCGGATCAGCACGACAGCGAGCAAGTGGCACGTACGTTGGCGCCTTCGTCGGGAAACTCGGCCACGCACGCTTGCGTTGCGACTGCGACAGCTTGCTCGACGCTCTTGCGCTTGGCCAGCGCGCGGTAGAGCCCACTAGAGGACCGAAGCGTGCAGGGTGGATCGCCGAGCTAGAGTATCGCGAAAAGGGACCTTAAAAGCGCGCGGTGGACGACAGGGGAGCACTCGCGCATCACAATCACATGGGGCACGCCGATCGACACGAAGACGGACGCTGTCCCTTCTCGTGAGCTTGTCGTTGCCACGTTGGAGGAGACGTACCGAGCGTGTCGGCAGGGTCGTACGAGAGGACGACGAGGCGGAAGGGCGGCACCTTGCCGAACGAGAGCGTGTGGCGCAGCGCATCGTAGCTCACAGGGTGGACGAGCGAGAGACTGTCCTCAAAGTACACGCTGCTTGCGCTGCCCCGGCCGATCAAATGCAGCACCTGGCAGCGCTGCGTCGCCGTGTACTGAAGCTCTTCAAGCATCCCGGGCTTGGCCGAGACGCAAATCGATGGCACGTGGCCTACACATCGATTGAGACGAAGCACTGACGGGCGTCGTAGCACCGCACCCGACTGGACCGCCGCATCATGAATGCAGTTTTGGATCACGTGAAAGTCGGTCTCGAGAGGAAGCGCCTGCACGCATCGTATCATGATTGGAAGCCAAGAAAGCCAACGCACCGGCATCGGGTGGAATTGCCCGACGCGGTCCATGCCGGCAAAAGGCGACGCCGCAAAGACGACCTAATGCTTTTCGTGGACCTTGTTTCGGACGCGAGAACGTACGATGGACGACTGCGTAGCATGGAGCTGGCGTTTGGGCTTGGGCACGAAGCGCTGCTTCGTGTCGCGGTCGCACACGCGCTTGCAGAGCACGTACGAGAGTCCTGGTACGAGCTGGACGACGTCGCCCGTGCGCAGGTGCGTCTCGAGCATCAAGGGTATCCGCCGCTTGTTGACCAAGATGCCTTTCGGGCTCTTGTCGCGGAGGAGGACGACGCGGTCGTCGTACGTGAGCGTGCAGTGGTCGGACCCGAGCGCGGTGGTGTCAAAGGACGCTGCGAGCGGCGCAAAGAGCTTGCGCGTGATGCGCAGCGAGGGGCGCGTCGCGTTGAGCTCGATCGCGTAGAGGCCAAGGCTTGCCATGAGGTCGCGCTGCGCCGGCGACAGCGCCGACGCGCTCGTCGGGTGCAGCTTGAGCGTGAAATGGCGCACGACGACCGTCTTCTTCCGTTGCTGCAGAAAGCGCGCGGCCAGCGTCGGCTTGGTCGGCGTCAGTACTCGCTGGCGTTTCGTCTGCGGCGACTCGAGCCAGCCAGGATACTTGACGTGGCGCGTCGTGTCGGTCACGGACGGCGTGCAAAACATCTCGCGTGGCGGCGAGACCTTGCCGGGCGACCCGTTCTCCTTGGTGATCGCCGTCGTGGGCCGCTTGTGGCGCGGTGGCGAGACATCCATGAGGCTGTCTTCCGCACGCGTGCGGCGGTTGGACGCAGCGCGTGGCGAGCTCATGTGCCGAATCCCAGCCAGTCGTGTTGGGCAGATTGCGATCTGAGCGGCCGCGTGAAGCACGGCGCCAGAAAGACTAGGCCCCGGGTCCCACATTTAATTGAATCTCCCGCGCACTTTGGCATAAAAAGCCTAGTATATTCCAAAGAGACATTTAGGACAAAGTAGGGGGCCCTATATAAAACGCTGCACGTGATGGGCGTTGTATCATCGGGATTAGGCACCTTACTGCTAGTAGCTCCATCTAGTAGCTCCATCATCTGCGCATGTTTGTTCGACGTTTAAACCAGCATGATAGCTCTACTTCTCAAGCTAGAGCGTGCGGAGCTGCTAGCGTCGTTGGCCCTAAGGTACTCGCATTGCCGCTGGTTAGGCCAAATGGAGCCCAACGCCAGCCTTGGTGCCAGTACATACATGTACCTCAGCCCAGGGTGTTGACTGGACCCAGGGCACTCTCATAGCGTCCTTCTGTAGTAGGAAACACTGGCGGAATCCTCGTCTTGTACATAGACGGATTGACAGAGCACCTCGGTCGTGCGTCATGATTCACCACCGCGCTGCAACGGACGCTGCAAGGAAGGTATTTTCGAGTGTTGCGAAGGGCTTCGAGAGCGTGCAAGGTATTATCGAGTGTTGCGAAGGGCTTCGAGAGCGTGCTGCTCGCTCAAAAGCAGCTGGTACAAGGCCTCTTTGCGCTGGTCCAATCTAGCATACGCCTCGAGTCGCCGCTTGACGCCCAGTGGGAGGTTGCTGCTCGGGCCGAACACGCGACCAAATTTGGGGCCCACGAGCATCTCGATCTTCTGCGCCACGTCAACCTTGCGCGTGTAGGCTCGCACGGAGCTGTCGAGCAGTTGCGGTCCTCTCTGCAACGCATTGGACGACGACGCTTGTCGCGAGAGCTCTTTTGAGGGCCCATTGGACTTGGACGACGATGACTCGTGCACCTTGGCGACGAGCGTCATTGGTGGCACAGCCGGCTGGAATGGAAGCGGTGCCGCCGGCTGCAGTGGTAGTGACACTGGTGCTACTGGCTGCTGCACAAGCGGTGGTGGATAGGCACTCTCCTTGGCACCCCCGAGCGGTCGGGGCTCATACAGTCGCGCAATCGGCCTGGACGGCTTTGTCCACAACGTTGTCATTGTTGCGGTTGCTGCTGGGGGTGGCTTGAAGGCAATTCCGGGGGCGGTCGGTGCATTCAACGCCGCAATGGCCTCTGCAAACGATGACGACGACGACGACGACGGTGCGCTGGTGTATGCGAGCAAGAGCCCTGAAGACGACGACGACGTGCATGGGTCCCGCCCGGGAAAGTACTTGTCGTACTCGAAGAGCGCGCGGTGCTTCTCAAAGAAACCGAGTGCGTCCGAGCTCATGGTCCAAAGGCGTTACAGCGTGCGAGGGTTCCCGGCCAGCAGCACTACATCGCAACCACCGCCCTTTCTGTAGGGCACCCGACTCGAATGGACCAACGCCAAGAAGCTAGATGACGGCGGCAGGCTTTCTGCCATTAGCTACCGGGTCAAGCAAGGCCCGCTGATGGCGTCGGTCGCAGCACGCGCTTGGAGATGGCGCGTCCCAAATCCAGTACTTTTGCTCTCTGCGGACGCCACAAGCACCTCGTTGCTTGCCTAAAGCACGAGCCTTTCCCGCCAGAAACCCTCTGCTGTACGTCGTCCAAATTCCACTGCGTTCCTTGAGCGCGACTCGTAAAGCTCCGCCGTCGCTCTGCAGTCGCTTGCGCATGTCTCTCTCCTACGAGACGTGGCCGTCTACGGGATGATGTCTCTACTCTACCTGTCTGGAAGCATGCACGGCTCCATCAATTTTGTCGCTGGACGCAATGCTCGGTGGTTGCATCAACAACCATCACGGCGTCGTTTCATCAGTTGCCGAAACTGAGCATGCCAGCGACGTTTGAAGAGCCCGATGAGGACGCGGACGACCCGCAGATGTTTGAGCACAAGCTCATCGAGCCGATCCTTCCGTGCCGCGACCCGGTCGGCGAGAAGGGTGTGCTGAGCCTGCACGCGCACCCGGCCGTGCGCATCGCGATCGCCGAGTGCGTTCAGCTGGGCGGCGACAACGAGGTGCGCATCGTCCACGACGCCGATGTGGACGAGCCCGTGCTGGAGCTTCTCGGGCCCGAGACGCGGCTCGTGCTGCACACGACCAACGTCATGCGGTACCTTGTGCTCTTTGTGAAGAACCTCGATGCGTTCTTCACGTACGAGGTCGAGCTCCTCGACGGGAAGCGAGAGTACCGGACGCTCACGATCACAAACGCGCGGAGCCTCGCACGCGTGAACGCCAGCCACTGCCAGATGCCACTGGCCTTGGGCAAAGGCTGGCAGTACCTCTGCATGGATCTGCAGAGCGTCTTGCTCGAGGCGTTCGGCACGCAGCACGTGTCGACGGTGCAGATCCGGGTCCTCGCCACGTGCCGGCTCTTGCGCGTCTTCTTCCAAGACGTGCGCTACAGCGACGCAGAGCTCCCGCCCGACCTCTCGCTCCTCGAGGGCGCCTAAGACGCATGATAGAAGGGTCTTGTGTGTTAATATCTACACGTCCTACTACAGACGACGCGACGCTTACTCGGGCTGCGACAGAAAGTCGTCCATGACGCTATTGACCGTGTCGTGGTCGTTGAAGGCAAATGCGCTAGTCGTCGACGACGCACTGGCCGGCGTTGTCGAAGTTGTCGTCGTCGTCGTCGTCGTCGTCGGGAGCATGAACCCGGCGTTGGCGTACTGCATCATCGTGTTCATCGCCGGGTTGAACGAGCCAGGGTACAACTGTGCGTTGGAGAAGGCTTGTTGCTGGAGCAGGTTGAAGTTGTACATATTGAGCTGCGCTTGGTGGACCGGATCCATCGGATTGAAGAGGAGCTCCGACGTCGCATTGCCGCCGGAAGATGACTGCATTGGAAACCCGCTAAGCGAGCCCATGTTGGCCATGACCATGGACGGATTACTGAAGAGGGCCGAGAGGTCCGCCGTGTTAGCAAAACCTACACCATTCCAAGATAGGTACATATATATACCAAGGCTCTAGCGTACCGGCCGCGTTGAGCTGCATGGGAGTGGTCGCTGGCGCGGCCCCTTGTTTAGGCTGCTGCGCTGCCTTTTGCTGCTGCTGTTGTTGTTGTTGTTGCTGTTGTTGCAGCGCCTGTGCTTGCTTTTGCTGTAGCTGCTTCTGTTGTTGTTGTTGTTGCTGTTGTTGTTGCTTTTGGAGCTGCTGCTGTTTTTGTTGTTGAAGGGCTGCTTGCTGTTGCTGGAGCTTCTGCTGCTGCAGAGCGGCTTGCTGCTTGACCAGTGCCTGCTGCTGTTGCTGGAGAAGCTGTTGCTGCTGCGCTTGTGCAGGCGATTGCGTCGGCGCTACTGGTTTTGTGGTCGCCGGCGGGGGACTCTGGCGCGGGGACGGCGTCGTCGTCGATGGCGCCGTCTCTTTCTTGGCAATCTACCGCGCCATGAGACCTACGTGAGAAGAGGTCGTCGTCGTTGTCTACCTGGTCGTCGGCCATCGCGGCGAGGCGCTCCAGCGACCGTGAGATCTGCTCCTTGTAGCGCACGCACTTGATGTGCCATTCCTTGTACTCGGCCGTCTTGTCCGTGCTGGCTACGACGACGAGGCTCCATGAGGCGGAAGCGGAGAGGCAGGAGCATGCATCGTACGTCGGCCCTCGAGCAGCGTCTTCCACGTCTGAAGCATCTTGTCGTTGGCCTCGAGCATCTTCTGCACGTCGCCGGCCCGGAGCGTCGTCGTCGTCATCGTTGCCAAGATCGAAACCCCAAACCTTCGGTATACCAATCAAAGCAGATAATTGCCGACTTGACACTAAATGCACGCAACTCCATTTGGCTGCACCTTGTTGCAGGGTAGCTGCGAGATCTCGTACAATGACAATCACACCGTAGTCGCCATCCCAATGGTCAGACCATAGTTACTCGATGCTCACGTGATCGATTTGAGTAGATGCCCTCCATCTCTCTGATCTCTCTCCTCGTTAACAAGGACAGAAAGGTCATTTGTTTGCTCAAAACCAACGGGCTTCGCATACCGGTACGCATTAAAACACGCGTAGCACTACCGAGGCTAGTGTAGACAGAAGGACTAGCTAATTATACGTATGCCTGTGTAGTCCACGAGCAAGTGTGCACACACGGTACTCCTTTCTCTCTGCGTGGTTTTGGCAATCCTCGTCCGCATGTGACAAGTTGCGTGTATTCAGCCCATTGAAATCGCCGTCGGCCAATGAAATCGTGACAAAGGCTTTGAGCATGCTCTCCACAAACGGCAAGGTCGTCGCCCACGCTGCGGTCGCGGCCGAGATGGAGGCGCTCCCCAAGAGCATCCAGGAGGTGCTTGGCCTCATCGACCAGCCGCTGCGCGTCGAGATCTCGGACGGGCGCATCCTCATCGGCTCCTTCCACTGCCTCGACCATGAGAAGAACTTGATCTTGACCGAGACCAACGAGTACCGGTACGCCAACCAAGACGACGACGAAGTGCCGCAGATCCCATCAAAGCGCTTCCTTGGCATGACGCTCGTGCCAGGCCGCCACATTGTCAAGGTGAGCCAGCTCGCGATCGCGTGAGCGCCCCCAACACCGACTTCCTCCACCTCAGACTAGAAAAAACTAACTTAAAATCTCAAACCCCTCGTTTGGGCCAAAGATGCCAATCTGCTACTAGTAGGCCAGTGCACTAGCCAGAGCTTGCCACGTGCAGAACGAGCCGCCAGAGCTGCATGTCGAACTCGGGAACTCGGATGCTGGGACCATTATTGCGTTTCCTTGCTGTCAAAGGCTGCCGCTCCGGCCACGCCTCTGCAAGGTGCTTCAAGCAGTGGTGTCGACTGGAAGCCGTGCGCCTGGCCTGGCATCAAGGGTACCTACGGCCTTGCCCACTTGGTGGCTATCGATCGATATATGTCTGTTGTCTGAAACTCAATAATCGCAATTGGTAATCTCAATCAATAGTGTCCGGATGCCACTGTTATTATCCGACGTGCCAGCTGGACGTTCGTTTTTTTCGCTTGTGGGGTCACAGTTCAGAAACTGATCGGCGTGGACGACGACGACGATGGCAGCGCGGAATGCTTGCATGGTGGCATGGCTCTTCCTCGCCATGACGATGGTCTCGTCCTTGATGGTAGTCGTGCCGGGCCGGTCGAAGGAGTGCTTCATCGAGTACGTCAAGACGAAGCGCACGGCCTTCCTGCGCATCGCGGTGGTCGAGAGCCAGGATCTGTACGACATTCGGCTCACGGCGTATGGCCCGTTCGCGACGCCGCCAACCGAAGAGCAGGCGGACATGAACTTCTTCAATTCGCTCGTGACGACGACGCCGCCGAACGAGAACTCGAACGACGTCCAGCACAACGGGTTCAACTTCGACACGGAGCACCGCGGTGGGTGGTACAAGTTTTGCCTCGGGAACGAACACTCGTCGTACGAGGGCAAGAAGGTCGACTTCTCGACCAACTTTGGCCTCACGAAGGAAGATGAGCTCGGTCACGAAGACGAGTGGGAAGCCGCGACCAAGCAAATGCACGTCGAGACCGTCAAGGGGTCGCTCGAGCACCTCCGCGAGCTCTTCGACCTGATCAAGTACGAGCAAAACTACTACCTCATGCGCGACAAGCGCCACCACAAGACTGCCGAGAGCAACCAGTCGCGCATCTTTTGGTACACGTCGATCCAAGTGCTTCTTGTCGCGGTGGTCTATGGCGTCCAAATCCGCCTCCTCAACCAGTGGTTTAGTGGCAGCGGCGGCCTCCTCTCGACGACCAGCAGTCGCCAATGGGCGTAATATAAGAACTGACTGTGAACACGAGATGGTGCACTTCGCAGCGTATATTTCTACTATTGCCGCTTAGACAACGTCCTGAAGCGAAATGCCAAGCGCCTGGAACTTGGCTTGTTGCACCTGCAGGAGCTCCTGGAGCTTGAGGCCAAAGGCCGGGTCCTGCGCAAACTGGTTGATGGCCGCGTTCATGACCTAGGACGCCATGAGCCTTGCGAACTGAGATGGAGGCAGCGTTCTACCGCTTCGTCGATGCCCACTTCCTGGTGGATCTCTTCCGTGTACTGCTGCGTCTTGCGCAAGTACCTACAAGACGCTGTCATGCGAGTTCAGGTCACGGTTGCGTACGCTTCCTGCCACATCTCCTTCTCGGCGTTGACGTCCTTCAAGCCGTTGGCCTTGGCGTCGGCAATGGCCTCTTCGATCGCGCGACCGATTGCGTCGAGGATCTTGGCCATGACGTCGAGGGCCTTCTCGGGCGTAAAGTCTTCAGGGATCGACACGTTCACCTGGGCCAGCGGGCTAGGTACATACCGTGTCGTCAAGTCCATTCCGAATCAAAGTGGTCGTACCTGTTTTGGATGACCTGCTCGAGGCGCTGGATCGCGGCAACGACGTCGGCGTCGTGCTGGAACTCGGCCATCGCCTTCTCAATGCCCTCCTGCGAGAAGCGGTACTTCTTCGAGAGCTCTTGGTCGGCCATTTGCACGGCGTGGCCAAGGCGCTCGATCAAGACCTGGTGCACCTGCTCTTCCGAGATCTGCTGGCCCGTCGTCGTCGCGTGCTGGATGACCTGCTCGGCCAGTTGCGGCAATTGACCCTACACGACGATGGTTTCGTCTCATAGCCATTGAGGACCTGGCAGACGACGTACGACAAGGTGCTCGATGTTGTGCGCGAGCTCGAGAAAGTAGTTGACGAGGTTCTCCTTGCTGACGTCACCGGACGCCGACGCATCGATCCAGATCTTGCCAACACCAAGAACGGCGAGGCCGGCGGCGATACCGATCGCGACCGTTGCGAGGTCGCCCTTGACGTGGGCCGGCGTGGCGCGCATGGCGCGGGCCGTCGAGAAGGACGCCATCGACGCCGTCGACGGCGTCATCGAGGGCAGGGCCGCAACGCGCGACGAGGCGAAGGAGGCGGCGGACGTCGACTTGGCGGCCAGCGGCTTGGCCTTGTTCATGCAGCGGACAGCGCGGGCGAGCGACATGGTCTTGAAAAGAAACTCGACGAACGAGCCATTCGATTGCGTCGACGTCTTCGAACTTCGATTCAAACTTCGATATACGCATGTCCACACCGCAGTCCACACCGTGGCGCCAAGATTGCCACGGCAGACGACAATATTATGGTCGGCCGGTAGTAGTAAATAGGAGGCTCGCATCGACAGTGCTCTACGGCCCCAGCGTGCTATTGCAACGCGGCGGTGGCGAGGCGAGGCGGTACAGCGGAGAGGACCCCATCCGCAGGCCGGCGCGGGACAACCGGTGGAGTCGGCTCGATTGATGTCACCCTTGCGTGAGCGCCTTTCGCGTCAACATTACATGGGCGTCGGCGAGTCCTCTGTCTCTATAACCGCTGTCGACTCGAGACTCGATTCTAGCAAAGTGAGCGGTCAACTGTTCGCACGGCTGCAGGCAGCCAGGATGTCGTTGACCGGTACATGCGTCGGTTCAAACGCCGTTCACAACGATATTCTCGCTCGTTGGCAAGTTATCACTCGACCGAGAGGACCTTACCGACAGTATAAATAGCACCAACGAATACGGGGATGGCGTCGATCGAGGCCGAGTACCGACACGTGTACATGGCCGACGCGCGCAGCAACGCCGCGCTCGGCTACGCGACCAACTACGTGCGCACGGCCAAGTACTCGGCGTGGAGTTTCCTCCCGCTCTTTCTTCTGGAGTCGTTCCAGAAGGTCGGCAACGGGTACTTTCTACTTGTCGCTGTCCTTCAGTGCATCCGCGCCATCAGCAACACGCACGGCGTGCCCGCGACCTTGCCGACACTCACCTTCATCCTCTGCGTCGACGGCACATTTGCAATCCTCGAAGACCTCACGCGCCGCCGCGCCGACCGCATCGCCAACAGCCGCGCGACGCGCAAGCTCGTGGAGGCAGCCGACGCCTTTCTCGACGTCGCGTGGGCCGACGTGCACGTGGGCGACATTCTCGAGATCCGCAACGACGAGCCAATTCCCGCCGACGTCTTGCTGCTGAGTGTGCCACCAAGCGACGATGGTGGGAGCAGTAGCAGCACATGCTTTGTCGAAACAAAGTCGCTCGACGGCGAGACGAACCTCAAGCAGCGCCAAGCCGTGCCGACGACGCAGCACGCGACGACGCCAGCGCTGCTCTCGGCCTTGCGCGGCCACGCGACCGTCGAGCGCCCGAATCATTGCATCCACACCTTTCAAGGCGTCTTGCATGTGGTACAGGCTTCGAACACGACGCCGGCCGCCTTATCGATCACCAACATGCTCCTACGAGGGTCCACCTTGCAGAGCACGGCACGCGTCTATGGCCTCGTGATCCACACGGGCATGGACACGAAGATCGTCAAGAGCAATCGACCGACGCCGTCCAAGCGCAGCGCGCTCGAGCGACGCATCAACATGTATGTGCTCACGCTCGTCGGCCTCCTTCTCGTCTTTTGCGCGAGCGCCGCCACTGCCAGCGTCTTCTGGACGGCCTCGGCGCAGTCGGTAACGTACCTCGGACCGAACTTGCATGCGAGCTGGGTCGTGACGTTCTTCTACTACTTTCTACTCATGTACCAATTCGTGCCGATTTCGCTCTACGTGTCCATGGGGACCGCCAAGTTTGTGCAAGCGAGGTTCATCGAGTGGGACCAAAGCATGTACCACGCGCGTAGCAATACACGCGCCGTCGTGCGCTCGATGGGGCTCAACGAAGACCTCGGGCAGATCTCGCACCTCGTGACCGACAAGACGGGCACGCTCACGTCCAACATGATGCAATTTCGCAAGTGCAGCATCAGAGGCGTCGCGTGCGGCGCGCGCTGCGACCGCCCCCAACCGATCAAGCGCGCCTCGACCAAAGTCCACGTGCCCGTCTCGTCGCCGCTGGACGCCAGTGCGCTGGTGGACCTGGCCAGCAGTACCCACAGCCCCGACGGCCGGCGCTTCTTCATACTGCTAGCCGTCTGCCACACGGTGCTGCTTGGTGGAGACGGCGCGTACTCGGCTGCGTCGTCGGACGAGCTCGCGCTCGTGCTCGGGGCCAAAGCGGTCGGCGTTGTCCTTACGTCGCGGTCGCCGACGACCATGGGCATTACGGTCCGCGGCGAGGAGGTACGATTTAGCATTCTAGCGGTTCTGGACTTCGACTCGAACCGCCGACGCATGTCGATCGTGCTGCGAAACATCGCCAACGACACGATTGTGGTCTACACCAAGGGCGCCGACGTCAACGTTTCGCCCATCTTGCGCGCACCACGGGATGAGGACGCGGCGAATATGCGCGCCAACACGATGCGGCACATGCAAGACTATGCTGCCGAGGGTCTCCGGACGCTCCTCTGCGCCTACAAGAAAGTGGACGAAGCGTGGTACCTCGACTGGGCCCAGCGGTACGCTGCTGCGACGCAGTCGCTGCCAGACGTCGACCGGCGCCAAAAAGGTCTTCCCAACCGCATCGACACGTGCATCGCTGAGATGGAAGCGGACTTGGAGCTCCTGGGCGCGACAGCGATCGAAGACAAACTGCAAGATGGCGTGGGCGAGACGATCCAGGCGCTCCGGGCCGCCGGCATCAATTTATGGATGCTCACCGGCGATAAGGAAGAGACGGCCATCAACATTGGCCGCGCGACGCATCTCATTTTGCCAGAAATGCGCTGCGTTGTCGTCTCGGAAGCCAACGCAACGTCGGCGGCGCTCGCATTGACCGAGCTCACGGCACTCAAAGCGCAGCTCGAGGCCCGGGGCGCCACCACCATCGCGCGCCACTCGCCACCGCCAGGCCGCCGCCGCACCACGAGCGCGGCCCGCTCGGTCACAGACTGGTCCAAGTCCCGCTGGACGTTGACAGTATCGCGGATATCGATTCGTGCGCCGTCTGTCGCTACTGAGACGGGCCACGCGCTGGTCATCACGGGCGCCGTGCTCGACCACGTGTTTTCGAATGCCGCGTGCTCCGACATGTTTGGTGCTGTCGCCGAGCGCTGCTCGACCGTGATCGCGTGCCGCGTGTCGCCGGCGCAAAAAGCCAGCCTCGTGCGCCTGCTCATGCGCTTGGACCCAACGAGCCGCGTCTTGGCGATCGGCGATGGCGCCAACGACGTGCCGATGCTCCAAGAAGCCCACGTCGGCGTCGGTATCTCGGGCCAAGAAGGGCTCCAAGCCGTCAACGCCAGCGACTATGCGATCGCGCAGTTTGCCTATTTGCGGAATCTGCTCCTCGTGCACGGTCGCTCCAACTACGAGCGCGTCTCGAAACTCGTCCTGTACATTTTGTACAAGAACATTCTTTTGATTGCGGCGCAATTCTGGTTTGCGCTCGGGACGGGCTTCTCGGGCCAGAAAATGTACCTCGAAGTCGGTGTCCAGCTCTACAACGTGGTCTTTACGTCGCTGCCCATCGTGCTCCTGGCGGTCATGGACGCCGACGTGCCGCGAGACCTCGCGTTGCAGCTGCCGTTTCTCTACAAGCCGGGCCACGTCACTTTCACCTCAACCACGTTCGGTTCAGCATGGCGATCGGCTCGGCGCTCGTCGAGTCGCTTTGCCTCACGAGCTGTGCGGTCGCTGCGCTGGAGACGAGCGATGTGCACGGAGCGTCGCCCGGGCTCTGGCTGCTTGGCATGGTCGTGCTCACAAGCGTCATCTTGCTCGCGAACCTCAAACTCGTGTGGTGGCAGCACGCGATTCTGCCGGCCAATGCGATCGCGTATCTCTCGTCGATGGGGCTCTGGGGCATCGTGGCCGTTCTCTGCTCGGACTGGTTCTTGGTATCGGGCTTTGCATGGGACCACATGATGAGCGTTGGGACGTCGCTGCCTGCTGTGTGGCTCACATGGCTCTTGGTGGTGGTCACGCTGCTGCTGAGCACGACCGTTGCCCTCCGCGCGTGTGCAACCATGGTCTACCCAACGTGCAGCGACATTGTCAAGGAGATTTATGCATCCCACATGCCCAACGCTGACCTTGGTCCACTCGTCCAGAGTCTGGTCAATGGTCATAGTGGCAAGGCGGTCCCTGAAAAGCCCTCCGCAACTGGCACCGAATCCGTCGCTCTTGATGTTTCACGACAACGCGGACAGCTCGATCTTCCGGAGACAGGACGCACAGGCGTAACTACTCCACGACATGCCATGGTGTGTGGTCTCGTGACGTGGCAGCCCCAGGATCGTTTGCGACATGCGTTGCGGTTGGGAGCTTGTATCCACTGCTGCAAGTGTGTCGGTGGTTGTGACTGTGCGCGCCGTAGCCGTCTAGTGGTCAGGTGGTGCCAATGCACAATGCATCCCTGGCACGGCCCAACAAGCAAATTGTTGCCCAGTTCCTCTAAGTTTTAAACACGATGGTTTTAAACAAACAAGCAAATTGAAAGCGTTCCTTTCGGCACTGCCATGAACAAGCGAGCGCGCTGCGGCGTGGCCCTGGACGTGGGCATCATCTTGGAGAAGGTCGTCATGTGCATGAGGTCGCCGCAGGATGTACGTGCGTTCCTCGAGGCGCTGCCCGTAGCGATGCTTCCGCCGACGCTGGCCGCGCTCCTCGCGCTACTGCGCCTCCCAGCCGGCAACGCGATGTGGCCGATCGCACCGCTCTGCATCATGGCGCGCGTTGCACCCAAGCTCGCTCTCGCCGCGTCGCGCCTGTACACATCAGCCTCGCTTGACATTACCTTCGAAGATCATGTGGTCGCCTCGCACGACTCCGTCGGATACGCGCACCCGTTCTGCGCCTTTGTCGCCCAATGGGCCGGTACCATCCACACCATGAAGCTCCTTGGTCACCGGCGCATCAGCGACGCGTTCTATGAAGAGCTCTCGAGTGTGCTCCGGCGCTGCACAAAGCTCGCCGCCGTTCGCCTCTGCAACAATCTCTCGGTGCTCTCGGCGGTCACCACCGCAGCGCATACAGTGCAGACGTTGAGCCTCAACTATGGCCCGTTTCCCCGTTTTGACGGTGGCAACGCAAAGCACGTTGCATCGTGGCTCAATTCAGGACATGCGCGCCAGCTAACGCTCATGGAGACGCCATGGGCTCATCCCGACCTCGCAGCTGCTCTCGCTTCGACGACGACGCTGTCGAGCCTCAGCTTGATCCACTGCAATTCCGTGCTTGGTAGCTTGGCTCTGTCTCGGTCCATCTCAAGCCTGACGGTCGTCTTTACGGGCCCCGTCTTCAACGACCGTGTCCCGCTGCTGCATTGGCGCCACTTGACGACGCTCACGTTGCATGGCGACGGCGGCCGCGTCCCAAACTTGGTGCCAGCGCTTTCATCGATGGTGGCGCTGAAGAGTCTTCGGCTCTCGCGGATGCATCTGCAGGGTCTGGCCCAGGCGGCCCAATACCCCGATCTGCGCGCCATCACTCTGGACAACTTGACCTTCTCTGACGACGGCTTTCGGGCAATCGTCGGCGTAACGACGTGCTCGGACCGCCTCGAATCCATCAAATGGACAGTGTGCGCTCATGGCCGGACGATGGACCTCGTCGACGCCGCTTTGGGTCGCTGGCTCCAAAGCGGTGTCCGGCGCGTGGTTTTCGTGGCTGGCGCATCATCCTTGCGAACGCCGAGACGCTGGTATCGTCTCTGCGCGGCACCCAACGGAGCGACAAGCAAAGCGCCCATGTGAGCTTTTGCCGCACCGGGATTGATGACGTCGACTTTGCTGCCCTTGTGGAAGTGCTTGCATCTTGTGCGAATGTGTCCATCTTGATCGAAACCAATATCGGGTCGGTAAAGGCGGCAAACATTGCGGCGGCGCACGATGTCGACCTTGCGCTCGTCGAACGTGGCATCCTGCTGTCCTCGACGCGCAAATGGACCTCGCGGTCAAATGGATAGTTCTATTATACAATTCATTGTGGGACCTTTTCTAAGCGCGGGGTTTGTAAAGAATGTCTTTGTCAAGCAAGCCAGCCAGTCGATCTCCGTCCTACGCCCGCGCAGTGTACTAAGGGGCTGGCTTGCCTTGTGTCGGCCCCTCGATCGATCATGGCTGTTCCGGATCGCAATGCAGCCAATGAAACACCGTTGTCGCAGCATTCAGCCAATCGCATCGCCGTACCTCCAATGTCACACTATACACGAACTGCAAATGTAACACTATTCAACGGGCAACGCCGGTAGCCATTGTGGGTATCCGGATGACGCAGGAAGAAGATCATTTTCAGATCCTTGGCATGCCGGTGGCACGGTCAGCTGCCGTGAGCCTCGTCGTGCTCGTCGCCGCCGTCGCAGATGCAGTCGTCTGGAGCCACGGAAGGTTCCCGCTTCCGGCGCCTCTCTTGCCGCAGGTGGCGTCGCCGGCTCGCATTGGCATCGTCGAGACGCTGCCGATCGGGAGCTTCGACCTCGCTCCGCTGCCAGGCAGCAAGTCGACGGCAGAAGGGCTCGCAGCCCTCTTCGATGCGGCGACAGAGACGATCGATATCCTTGCCATGTACTGGAACCTCGAGGGCGTCGACGACCACAAGATCTACTCGGACGACGAGCTGCAAGCGTTTGGCGCTCGCCATGGTCACGCTGTGTACGCCGCCTTGCGCCACGCCGTCGAGCGCAATGTCTCGGTTCGCGTCGTGGGCTCCAAGAGCGATCAGTTCCAGCCGACCGAAATCGAGTCGTTTGTCCCGAACATTCGTCTCTGGGACGCTGTGCATTGGTACGGCGGCGGCATCATGCACCAGAAGATGGTGCTCGTCGACAAGCAGCACGCGTACTTGGGGAGCGCCAACATGGACTGGAAGTCGCTCGCGCAGGTCATGGAGGTCGGCGTCGTGCTGGAGGCCGCGCCAGCGATCGTCGATGACATGCAGCGCCTCTTTGAGCTCTGGTGGGCGTGGAGCGACCCTGCCCTCGTCGCTCGATATGCCCCCATCGACGTCTTTTCCGACAAGTTCCAGGTCACGCTGCGCCTGCCTCCGTGGTCCGACGACGTGCCCGAGGCGTCTCGCGTGCCGAGTCCATTTACGGATGCGAGCATGAGCTCCATCTTCAACAAGGTCCACAATTTGCACACGCTGCTCAACAACAAGCCAGCGGGCGTCTTTCTCTCGGCCTCACCGGACAGCGCCACGTCCGGGGCTCGAACCCGCGACGAAGACGCGCTCGTCTACACGCTGCAGTCGGCCAAGACCGCAGTGAGTCTCAGCGTCATGGACTTTCTGCCCTTCGCCACGTATCCCATTGCGACGCACGCGTCCGGTTCGATCCACTGGCCTGCGCTCACCGATGCCATTCTGAGCGTTGTCCTGGCCCGTAACGTCAGCGTGCGCCTGCTTGTGAGTCACTGGGCGCACTCGCGACCTGTCATGGTGACAGCACTCCGGCAGCTCCAAGCCCAAGCCGATCTGCACCACAAGGTAGATACTGACAAGTGCATGATGGAGGGGTCTATCCAATGCTACCTTTTGTAGCGAGGGCTCGGGCGGGTTGAGATTCGGCTGTTCGAGGTGCCGGGTTATAACGAGACGGTGCCGGCGCCAGGGCGGTTCCCGCCGTTCAGTCGCGTGAACCACGCCAAGTTTATTGTCTCGGACTCGCGCGTCAACATTGGCACGAGCAACATGGAGTGGGGTTACTTTTACAACACGGCGGGTGCGAGCTTCAATACAAACCACCCGGACGCGATCGCCGCCGTCCAAGCCATCTTTGACCGCAACTGGGCCTCGGCGTACGCCCGTCCGCTTGCTTAACGTCGCAACCGACTATGGAATGACACGTAATCAGCAAAACAGTATCTATAATCGGGATGGAGCAACCCTGCATCAACTGCAAAGACGATGGAAGATGTGTGTCGTGGATGTCAAAATCAGGCTACGATGGCTTGGCTGCTAAGATCTAAGACCGCGCGGGCCGGTTGCAAGCGCGTGGTTGCCTTCCGGCCGGCGCAGGCGGGTTAACCCTCCCAGACCAGGCGGAGAATCCGCCAATTTAAGGTTACGCTTAACCTTGCACGCCGGGGCTGTCGAGGCGCAGCACCAAGTTGTCTGCCGTCATGCGCACACCACACGCAGCGACCATCGCGAGGAGCTTGCTTCTTCCACGCTTGGACGATGCGAGACTCGTGAGATTGGTGCTCGCGGCAAGCGCTTTGATGAGCGGTTGGACGTCGTCTTCGTTGAAATAGTTGCGCGCGAGATTCAAAACACAGGGCGACGGAGCGTGCAAGGATGCGAGGCTCGCCGCAAGCATCTGTATGTGGAAACATGCGTCCAAGCGCACGGCGGTGGTCACAGCGGCGGATGGCAGGACCCGAGCAATCGACGCGGTTGCTCGCGTCTTCACAACGCGTCCAGTGCACCGCCTTAGCGCTCGCGATCCACTCGATGATGTGTCGAAGGGAGTTGTCGTTGAAAGTGACGTTGTCCAAGGCAGCGACCCTTAGCTTGGCGGGACGGACCCCTGGACGGTTGCGAGGTTGAAGTTGAGGGTGCTTTGAGTGCTGGCAGCGACTGCAGCACCGCCAACGGACACTCGATGTCTTCGTCGTCGGTGCCCGAGAGACTCGGCATCTTCATCTTGGAGAGGTCGAGCAACTGAGCTATGCCATCCACGACGCGGTGCATGGCCGAGCACAGATTGAGCTCCGTGAGACGACGCAGAGGCGCGTTGTTCACATTGAGGCTGCTCAGAATCCCGTCGCTCTCGTCCAGGTCCAAGCTTGACAGCGTCGGCACCACACGAGACGCGGATCGCTCGACGACTTGAAGCCGTAGAAACCCAAATGGGCAGCGTACATCAATGCCAGCCACGGCAGAAGCGCCAGCAATGCGTCTCTGCACGACGAGAAGTTGTACGGATTGAGCTTCGATACGCGAAAGGGCGGCGCCAGCACCGTTGGCAGCAAGTTGGCGGAGGCGTGGAGCGTGGCGATAGACACGTTGGTGGACATGCGCAGGAGACCTTCAAGCTCGCGAACGTGGAAGTTGCAACTGGGCAAGCTGTGATTTTGTGGGCCCACTGGCGCAAACGCGCAAACCGACGAGCGAAAGGTCGTGGTCGCAGAGTGCGGCCACTGCGCGCTGGACGAGGACCCGCGCGCCTCAATGGCTGGAAAGGTGTCGAGGGCACGCGCCGCGGTCGGGATGCTACGGTCGAGCACCGCGTCGAGGCGGAGCACCAGCCACAGATCGCGCGTGGCGTCGGCTAACACGAGGTCTTGGCAGCTTGGGCATCGCGTGATGCGACGCTCGAGCACCGCGTCGAGGCGGAGCACCAGCCACAGATCGCGCGTGGCGTCGGCCGACACGAGCTCTTGGCAGCTTGGGCATCTCGTGGAGAAAGCGCTCGACGTCGGTCGGGGAGGACCACGATTGCCCTTTACCGAGCCCATGGCTGTGCCCCTGGATCCGCGCTCCCTAGTGCCCTCGTGTGTCGTGATGGAGGCGCTCGGTGCAGTGAGCTACAGGATCGCGATAGCAGCGCTGTATGTAGAACGAAATTCGGATGCATCCTGTACACTGAGTAAGCTAGCGCGAGTCAAATCGGTAGCAAAGGCGGTCGAGCGCGGGGTCGGTCGCCTTGTGGGTTTGCGCGGGAAGAGAGGCAACCTTTTGAGCCAATCCACGACGAGTATGCCCTGCATTTTGCACCAATCAGAATGCGTTTGCACCACGCTTTGATTTCGCACCTGACGTGGTATGAGTCGGCGCCACCTTCTCTCGCTGCGAGCGATCTTAAAGACGACGACGGCGACAGACGACGATGGCATGCCGAGGATGGCGGAAGCTTCTGCTCCATGGACCGAGCCCATGGAAGCTGCGAAGGAAGAAGCGATCGCTGGCGCCGAACGGCCTCCGAAGGGTCCCGAAGCCCCATGTCCCGCGCCCATGCAGTCCAAGCAGCCCGCAATGTGCAAGGTGACAGATGCTGCGACCATGGAACCGCTTGTCGCAAGCGACTCAGTGCACGCGACTGGGGACTCGCCGGCGACAGAGCCGATCCCAGCCGCTGTTGAGGTCGATCAGGCGAGCGACACGACGCTTCCGCTCGACACGGACGAGCTCGACGACTGCCCGCCCACGCAGCGGGTCGAGGACGACGCTATAAGGATTCTGCCATCTTCCCACGTCATTGATCTACAAGCAGACGATGGGTCCGACGCCAAGATCACGTGCCCATCCTGTGGCAAGAACCTCACGTTCTTCAACGAGGAGGCGCAGATCCACCACGTCAACGCATGTCTCGACGCGATCCAGCAGTTTGAGCGCAACAAGCGCGATGCTGAGCTCCAGGCCGCGCTGGCTGCCAGCGTCGCCGCCGACCCGACGCCTGAGATCCCTGTCGAGACATGCAAGGTCTGCGGCGTCTCGTTCGCGGACAAGTTGCCAAGCCAGCGCATTCAACACACCAAGCAGTGTGCGAAAAAGTACGGCGTGAGCCTCCAAGCGCTGCTGCAAGCCGAGGTGCACGTCGACGAGGCGCGCATCGACGCTGCGCTTGCATCCCTCCCGCCACCGACCAATGCGTTCGACTTGATGATGAACCGGCCCAAGCCAGCCGCCAAATCCGCTGCGAAGCCGATGCCGCATGGAAGCAACGCGTTCGATCTGCTCATGCGGGGCGCGCAGACGTCCGCGATCGTTGCGAAATCCGCAAAACCGGCGCTCAAGCGCAAGGCCAACATGTTTGGGAAGAAGCCGAAGTACAGCTGCCCCGACTACAAGAAGATCCAAGGCACGTCCATCATCGTGGACGGCTTCCAGTACGCGTCGCCGTCGCTCTCGACGACCTACGTCCTCTCGCACTTTCACTCGGACCACTATGGCGGTCTTGGCCGGGTCCGTCTGCGATTTTACGGGGGGCAACTAACCTCGGTGCTAGTCGTTCTCAGCGGGCATTATCTACTGTACGCCGACGACAGCACGGCTCGTGCAGCTCTGCCTCGGTGTCGACAAGTACGTCTCGTCCTCGAGGTTGCTAACGGCATCTCGAGGATGCATGTAGAAAGTACCTGCATCCGTTGCCGCTGCACCAGCCGTATGTGCTTGCAGACCACAAGGCGCAGATGACGTTCATCGACGCCAACCACTGCCCGGGGCCGCGATCATCTTGTTTCAGTTCCAGTCGGGCAAAACATTCCTCCACACCGGTGCGCCGTGGACCTCTATGCGTCCGAACTCAAACGTTTCCGCAGGCGACTTTCGCTACGACCCGAGCATGCTGCTCAATCGCTACTTGTCGCCGTTCACAAACTCAAACCAGCGCTTGGACGGCGTGTACCTTGACACCACGTACTGCGACACACAGCACTGCCACCCGACGCAGGTTGATTTCTTAGTCCTAAGAGCATGTGCAACGATGTGCGTAGGCAGTTGCGATCGCCGAGGCCAAGCGTCTTGTCGACCTCCATCATAATGACCGTCCACTCTTCTTGGTCGGGTCATACTCGATCGGAAAGGAGCGGCTCTTCATGGACGTACGCTTTTGATGTTGATATGCCCTGTCGCTCACTGTATGTAGGTGGCTGCCCACTTGGACTGCAAGGTGTTTGTCGAACGTGCCAAGCTGTCACTGCTCTCGTGCTTTGAGTGGCCCGAGACCGAGCTCGTACGTTGCCGCTTCTTTCGCCCATAATCCTCACGTGATATGACGTGCGTAGCGGCGCCTCACGACCGAGTCGTCGACCACCAAGTACAATCGTACTATTGCTGCTGTGTCCTACGCAGGATGTGCTCGTAGTTTGCACGTCGTGCCCATGAACCACTTGAACTTTGACGGGATGCGCGCGCTCCTTGCGAAACACCGGCTCCGCTTCCGCAAGGTGATTGCGCTCCAACCGACGGGATGGACCTTCTCGCGCAAGAAGGGTCCCTCCGTTTCGTCCAAGCGCACGCAAATGAACGACGCGCTCATCATTTACGGCATCCCGTACAGCGAGCACTCGAGCTTTGACGAGCTCTGCGCGTTCACAAAGGCGTTTGACCCGAAAGTGATCATTCCGACGGTCTCTTCGTTCTCTTCGATGTCATCTCCCCTCACAATACCTCCAATCGCATAGGTCAACTGCACCAAGTCGTCCGAGCAAGTCGCGCTCCTCAGGCAAACGTGCTTTAACAACCTCACCCATCATTTTGCCCATCAGCCCTAACACCTCGTCGTTGTGCATGTACAACTATGCCTACTAGAGCTATCTACTAGATTATCCTTGTCTAAATATCGAGCCGCCAATGTCTAGTCTCCTTTGATGCAGATTAATCGATGACGCGCAAGCAACAAGCATGACGCTGCCTTCGCTCTTAGCAGTACAGTTGATACTGGTAGGAACCTACACTGGTGACACCAGCCCAGAGGTGATTTTATGAGCCGTCTGCAGTTTGCAGGCTGTCTGTGTAGTAATTGATTGGACTAAACGAACCGCAGATGCAGCGGCCAAGGCGGCGCGCCTTGGAAAGGATCGACTCACGCGCACCAACGAGGACGAGCCCGCGAAAGCCGCGCACAAGGAGAGCGACTGCAAGAGCCATGCGACGGCGCGCGCCAACGAGGATGACGCAGCATAGACTGCGCGCCTCGAGAAAGACCAACTGGTTCGCACCGCTGCGCTCAAGGATGCCTACGGATATCGTACTCGAAGAGGGCGATTGGCTCGACAAGGCCATTCTCCTCCAAGACTGCAAAATATATTGAGCAGTTCTTGGGCCGCAACCTCAAAAGCTGCGAGACGTTCATATCTGTCGATCCTCCGTTGGATGAAGCGGTACGTCTATGGCAATGGTACGATCAATCCACGGCTGCGTAGCCGTCGACACTTGTGGACTCCACGTACATAAAACAAGCTCTGAACTCAAGTATTTTGCGAACACCAACGCAGTCATATATACCAGCCCCCTCCCACGGGACCTTGTACGTCGACGCAATTAACAGGTCTTGACGGTATCGTTTGAGGTAGCTAGATATGCTGTAGCTGCTAGTGCCCAAGTCGGTGCAGCTGAGCCACGAGGTCGTGGATTTCTTTCGAGAGCTCGTTGGTGCGTCGGAAGAGGATGCTTGTCGAGAGTAGGTTTCCAGCCCACGAATCGTTGTCACGTTGGCTTCTTGGGCGGCTTCGGCCGTGACCGCCCGCGTCTTGAGCACCTTCATGTCAGTCTTGGCCTGTGTCTGCTGTGTCTGCAGCGCCGCTTCCAAAGCGGCTGCGCGCGACGCGAGGTTCGTCGTCTCCTCCGAGCTTCGTCTTGGCCTCTGCGAGCGCCGACTTGTCCGACGAGAGCGCGTTGACGCTGGCCGAGAGATCGTTGATGGTCGACATGAGCTTCAAAATCTTGTTCTCGAGGGGCAGCTCGTTCGATGCAGCGCGTGTTGCTGCGTCGTCGGCTTGCGCTTTGAGCGCCTCGTAAGCCTCGCGTTCTGCCTGGAGCTCTGCGGCCGCGACGAGGTCTGGCGGTGCCACAAGACCACCTCAATGTCGCTGTCAAAGTCCGTGTCTTCCATCAGCGGCCCCGAGAAGACGGTCCATTGATTCGTTTCGTCGACGTCGCCGCCACACGGCGGCCGCGCACTGCGTCTTCGTACTTGTCTCGGAACTCGGCGCAGTTGGCTGCGAGGGTGGCATCGGCCAGCGCCTTCTCGTGGTCGGCCGAGAGGCGACGCGCGACGTTCGCTGACGTCTGATGCGCTGTCACTAGATCCGATTGGAGAGACGAAACTTCTTGCTCGTCCGCTGCGAGGTCAGCGGCACGGGCCGAAGCCGCTTCTTGCGCCTTCTCGAGGCTGGCTTGGAGGTTGACGACCTGCGTTTAGAGAGTAGTAACTTCCGAACGCAGCTATCCGAGTATCGCCTCAGAGATGACCGTCGATGTCGCGCTGGTCGGCGAGACATCCGTGGTGGCACTTGAGGGAGCAGGCGCAACGCTCGTCACGGGCGTGCCGTCGGGCTTGGCTTACGCATGAGGGCATCTTGGGCCGCCAACTTGGCGTCGGCGAGCTTTGCAGCGCACTTCTAGTGCTAGAGCGGGTCGTAGAGGGACATGCAATTTCGTTATCTGAGGCACCGAGATCGCTCGCGCCGCCGAGGGATGTAAAGGCGTTCAAGCCATCGCCGCGCTGCGTGTGCTTGGTGTTTGCATCGCACGCTGGAGAAGCGTGACCTGCGACGCTGCGTGCTGTCAAAAGTCCATGAGGCGGCGCGCTTTTGTACAGTACTCTCCGCGGCTGCATCGCTTGGGTCGTGCTGGCTACCACACTCGGCCGGCTCCAAAAAGCCAATGGCCCGGAAATGTCTTCAAGGCGTTGATTGCCCGCGTAATAAAGTATTCTCAAACTATAAACGATTGTGCTGCGTTAATAGTCGCATACGTGGCAGCGTCGTCGTCGGTTCTTTCGACAAGTGCCTCCTGGTCGAGTACATCTGTGCGATTCAACCAACGCTACCACACTACGTCGCGAAGCAGTCGACGCCAGTGCCGCACCAAATGCAGCGTCGACCGTATACAATCGTTAAAGTATAGTCTCACGTTGCCGAATACTAAGCGCTAGTTTGATGCAATACGTGTAGGAACCTCCTGGTGACACCACCAGCCCACAGAGGTGTCTTCCTTTCTAGTGTCTGTGCAGCAATTGATTCGACAATATAAGGCCGCAGCTACGTTCTTATTGCACCATGCCTGCCAGGCATTGTGCAACGCAGAGCACCAAAGGACGGAGTCGAAGGTCGTTGAACCGAAATGACACGACGCACCGTACGTCCGCCCCAAGATGCAGCAGCCAAAGCGGCGCGCCTGGAGAAAAATCGACTCGCCCTGCGCGCCAAGGAATCCGACGATGTAAACACAAAAGCACTCCACAATGCATTCCTACAAGCCCCCTCCACCGGAACCTTGTATCGATCTATACTAGCCATAGCATGGCTGCTTCGTCCAGCAATGTATGTGATGTGACAGCAATTGTACAAATGTGGCGTGGCGCCACGCAGAGTTGCCAGGTTTTGGGATCGCGCTGCCAATGTCGCTCCAAGCTGTCGTCGAGAGTCGTAGTCGTGTAGTGGTCACCAAAACGTGGTAGCTCATCGAGCTCGGCGCCGGAAATCTCGTCCGGTGCGACGCCACTTGTAGCGCTCGCTTGGCATGGACAGCACACTACGGCAGACAAGCACGGTCGGCCATTGAGGCCGCTCACTCGCGCGTGCATCGTCGGCCGCTTGCCGCGAAGCTGCGGCAGTCCAGAGTTTCGGCGGGTTCATGTCGAAGATACGAAGATCCTGATTTCAAACTTGAAGTGTGAAGTTGCATTATTTGGACCAATGAATGGTCTCCATATTAGAATTATAGCCAATGCCTAGTCTCTATTCCACACACATCCATCCTACCGACGAGGTAGTCCTTCCACGTCTACCTCATGTTGAACTCCCATCTCGGTACTCGGTATTGCTTGCCATGCTGCCATCAGCCTCGGTACTGTTCTACGGCCAGCGTGCCATGCGACCAAGATCCATGGAATGCTGACGGCTGTACAATGGATTCGAGGTTGGGATTGCAGTTGCGCTGGCTTTAGCAATCAAGTTGATGCAACTGTGGGACAAGGCGCGTCGTTTCAGCCAATCGCAAGCGACGGGACTGCAGCTTTCACCATGAGCGACCACTTCATGCTCTCGAGTTCGCCGCGCGCCAAGCAGCAGGCAGGATTGCGGCAGTGGTACCTTGGCGACGCCGACATGGCACCCAAGCGCTTCTGCGGCGGCCGGCTCAAGCGCGGGCCGTTCATCTGCCTCCACGTGTCCATCGCGATCATTCTCATCTTGCTCATCGTGATTCCGATCCTCACCGCCGTCGTCGTGCCCCGCAGCATCCAAACCAAGTTTGCAGCGTCGCTCGGCGGATCGAGTGCATCCAGCACGACCGTCTTTGCCGTGACCAACAGCGCGAACGGCGAGTTTAACGTGACGGCGACGATCTCGGCAGCGACCTTCCTGCCGGGCACGGCGACGATCGACGGGCCATTCACGCTCGCGCTCTCGGACGCCTCGGGCAAAGGCTGGGCGACGATCACGGTCGCCGACGCTGTCTCGTTTCCGATCAACCACGATGCGACCGTGACGCTCTCGGCGCGCCTTGTCGTCTACGACACGCCGTCGCCGGCGTTGCTCACGGCCTTCGCCTCGTCAAAAGAGCTCGCGACGACCGTCACCACGTCCTGGACGATCCGGCTTTGGGGCTTTGTGTGGTACCGGGATCTCTCGCTGCAGGGCGTGCACACGGTGCGCACGAACAACTCGTTCAACGGGATGTTTGCCTCGGCGTTTGCGCCGACGTCGTCGGCGACCGCCAAGACGACCGTCGCGTTTCTGGCCAACGGCGTCAACAACTTTCGCGTCACGACGACGATTGCGCCGCTCTCGACGCTGCCCGGTACGATCACGATCGCGTCGCCGCTCGTCTTTTCGGTCGCCGATTCGACGGGCGCGGGCTGGGCCAATGTCAGCTTCTTGGACCCGATTGCATTGCCACTGTATGCGCCGGCGTCGCTGGCGCTTGACGGACAGCTCAAGGTCTATCGCTTCCCAAGTGCGATCGTACTGGCGCAGGCGCTTTTGGGTCAAATGTTACGATGCGCGTCTCGACCGAAGTGACGGAGTCGCTCTACGGGCGCGTGTGGTACACACGCCTGCCTCTCCAAGCCGACGTCAACATCAATTCGCTCCTTGGCTCGACGATCTGGAGCGCGATCACGAGTCTCTTGTCGTAAAGATGGAGCTTTGTGCTCTTTGAATACTATGTGCGTTCTCAACGCGCAGTCTTGTTTCTGGAACGAAATGCGAGGCAAAGCCCATCGTGACCGACCAGACGGCGAAAGACATGAGCTACATGATAGTATGAGACCAAGTGCGGCAGTAGTCGCACCACGGCGTGCCACGTCATTATGCGACGTTGGCCAACGGTCACTAGAATAACGTCGGGTCCCTTCAATCTGGTCGGTGAAAATGATGCCGTCGCGAGATCCCGTCCTTCCAGCAGCGATGGACGCGCGCCATCTCGACGACTTGGCGTTCGTCAAGCGCGGCAAAGTAGCTGCGCTATCGCGCTGGACGAAGTTCGCCCAGTGGTACGTCGCGCCGCCGACCGAGAACGCCGCCGCCAAGCGCTACTGCGGCCAGCACCTCTCGAAGCGTGCCTGCCTTCTCCTGCACGTCGTCGTGCTGCTTGTGCTGGCGCTTGTAAGCTCCGGCCTCGTGCTCGTCTACGTCGCCGTGCCACGCATGATCCAAGCTCGCTTTGCAAGCGCGATGGCGCATCCGCCTTCGAGCGATAACAGCAGCAACACCACGAGCGTCTCTCGGCCCAGCGACGGCGCCGCCGACTTTCGCGTGCGCACGACACTGCCAGCGCTCCTCCCGATCGGCGGTGTCCTCACGTGACTGCATGTTAGACCGATGACGATAACGTTGCGTAGGCACCGTCGAGCTCGTCGGTGTCTCGACCTACGCGATTGCCGATATGCGCGGCAAGACGTGGGCGACGGTCACAATGAGCTCCGTGGCTTTTGCGGTAAACGCGCCAGCCGACGTATCGATTGACTTTAACCTTTCGGTGATCGACGCGCCGTCGTCCGAGGTGGTCGCGGCCATGTTTCCCGAGCGGCAACTGGCGCTGCACATTGCAACGAGGTGGACGATCCGGTTTTGGGGCTCGATCTGGTACTCGGAGCTGCCACTCAACGGAGTGTACACGCTCTACCTGCCGCACACGCTTCAAGACCAGTTTGATGCTGTCGTTCGCAGCCCGCTCTCTCCGTCGCCGTCGAGTTCGGGGGCCAACGCGACGGTCGAAGTGCTCTCGGCACGCAATGGCAGCTTCCGCATCAACGCGACCGTCCCCGCGCTCTCGCTGCTTCCGGGTACGATGCATACTGCTTAGTGACGTCATCTCGATGCGTGAAGGGACGATCCGCGTACTCGGACCCACCGTCATTGTCATTTCAGATCCACAAAAGACGCCGTTTGGTCATGTGACGTTCGAGACGGTGACGTTGCCAATGGACCGTGTCACGAGACTCTCGGTGACGGGGTCGTTCTCGCTCGTGGGCTTACCGACAGCGTCGGTGCTATTGGCTGCCGTCCAATCCAATAGCTTCCGCATGCATGTAGACTCGAACTGGACGATCGAAGCGTGGCACCAGATCTGGTTTGCGCCTCTCTCGCTCCACTCGCAGTTCGATTTGAACTCGACGACCGGCGCCCAGCTGTGGCAACTCGTCCAGTGCAAGATCTACGTCTGCTAAGATCCCAATCTGCCAATACCTACCGTATAAACTTGAGTGCAAACATGCGAGTTCTTCAACACATCCACAGTTTACACTCGAATTCAGAGGATCTCACCAACTGCCATGCAAGCTCCCTTTCGCTTTGGCTGATTCGGCTGTCGTCGGATTGTTTCGCGGGACGTGGTTTGCGCTGGCGTCGATGAAAGATCCAAGGGCGCAAATCCAGTACAAGAGATAGCACCGCATAGAAAGAATAGACAATATCGTCCACAAACTTACACACCCGAAGGCAAGGTGCGACGCTGACTCGCGACAGAAAAGAGTGGCCCACCTGCCAAAGATTGAACTTGACTTTTTGGCCAATCATCGACTGGACATCACTTTATTGGCCAATCAAAAGCGGCGAAACGCCAGCTGGCACTGGCCGTCGCGAGGCGCGATCAAGTTCATTCTTCCTGCACGCAATAATGAACAACGGCGACGACAGCACGACCGGTGCGGCGACGACGACAACCTCGAGCTCGTGCTTGAACGTAGGGAACCTCTGGTGGTTCTACTCGCCCGGCGCGCTGCGCGTCGAGGACTTTGAGCCCGTCGAGCCCTGCGGCACGTCGCTCACCAAGTTCACCGCCACGTTTCAGCCCGTGACGAATGTGACATTGTACGTCGTACGAGGTCGCTTCTGGTCTCACGGTCGCTCGATTAGCCACTTAAACACTCCGAGCGTGAGCTTCAAGTCCATCTCTTCGATGCGCTACACCAAGCTGCTCAAAGCGCCGATCGCCAACGTGTACGATGGCACTTCTTGGTGGCATGGCGTCTAACACGCCCTAGCATCTTTGACGGCGTGCCATCCGACTTCAAGTACGCGTCGTTGGTGCAGCCGACCACCATGTGCGTCATCCTTGGTCCTATATGATGATGAACGTTCGCCTCATGCGTCCACAGGACCATTATGAACACGGCGAAATTTGGCCCGATCTCGGTGGGCCTCTCAACCTTCAAGCCGGTGCCTGCGCTGTATGTGATCACTCTCTGCGACTCGATTGGCTTAGCATTGCGTCGTAGAATCTTTCTCAACGTGGACCCGCGGCAGCTCTCGATCGTCGACGGCGCGCGGAACCTCTCGGCGCTCTCGATCACGGCCGACTGCTCGACACGGCTGATCGTCAACAACGTGTACGACATCAAGCAAATATAGCAAAACTGACGGTATCAACGCATCTCTCTAGCCCCACGATCCCGACCAACTGTTTGACGACGGCCCCGCCACGGACCCCCGCAGCGACCAAGAAACCATCGGTGAGCAACGACGCCACGACGCCGCAGCCCAGTGCGTCGATGGTGGTCCCGTCCAGCGCCTCGGACGCGGGCGCCTCCACCGGCCTCATCGTGGGCTTGGTGCTCGCCAGTATCGTCGTGCTCGGGCTCGCCCTCGTCTACGTTTGGCTCCGCCGGAAACGCCGTCAGCGGCCATCAAAGGATGTCGAGTTCTCTTCGTACTACAGCGAGCCGCCAGCGACGCCCGCCCTCTCGGCTGTCGTCGTCGAGCCCGCGAATAGTGACGCACCGCGCAAGCCGACGCTGTTGCTCAAGCTCAAGGCGCGGCCCGAGCTCGCGCCGTACTGGCTCGAGTCGCTCGAAGGCGTGGCTATTTCGCCCGTCTACGGCCAGACGTTTACGTGCAAGCTCGGCTCCAGCACCGTGGCACTCACGGGGCTTTCGTACGCCGACGCGACCCACGACGACCGCGCCACGTTTGTCGCCGCGTTTCGCGAGATCGCCGACCTCTCGTGCGACGCCATCACGCGCGTCATCGGTATCTCGCTCACCAAGTGCCAGATGCGTCTCGCGATCGCGACCGAGTACATGGACGAGCACAGCGTCCGGCGTGTGCTCCAGAACCAGACTCTGGATCTGCCTCGCAGCACACGGCTCCAGATGTGCGATGACGTGACGCAAGGCGTGTGGTTTCTTCAGACGCAGACGCCGCGCGGGTACGCTGGCATCGTGACCCGATGCGCGTGCTGGTCAACAGCGCGCATCGCTGCAAGCTCGACGCCGCCGCGCTCATGGCGCCAACGTACGTCTTTAAAAAGTACCCTGGCCCGTCGCTCGGACTGGGCCTCGCGCCGTATGCGTCGCCCGAGGTCCTTCGCCGCGACGCAAACATTGATCGCCGCGCCGCCGACATTTTCGCACTCGGCGTGCTCTGCGCCGAGATCCTCACGCGCCAGCGGCCGTACGACGCGCTGTATGCGGCCGAAGGCTTCCTCGGCGGCGACATGCGCTTGGTCCACGCAGCGTCGAGTGGCAATGCGATGCCGGCACCGTTTGAGGTCGCGACACTCGAAGCGCACACCTCGGTCGAGGGCGTCTCGCTGCTCAGACGGTGCTGGAACGTTCGCCCGTCGCAACGCCCGAGCATCGACGAGATGGCCGAGTACTTTGCCCGGGACTTTGACGACAGCAGCGTGACGCTGTGAGGAGAGGAAAATGCAGTGTTTATTGCCACGGGGCCACCATTTCTGGATTGAGAATACATCGAGTAAAAAATTGGAGACCCCGAAGGGCATCCTACGAGTAGATCGTCGTCGTGGGCAGGCAGGCGGTGCACGCGTCGGTCCATATATAAAGAGGGTGGTCGTAGCTGACAATGGGTTGTCTCTTGTTGCGACCTTGATCGGTCCCTAGCACTGTCGTAGCGAGCTCTTCTATAGTTGCTGATCTTGCCCTACACCTCTTGGAGAGCTCTCATAGAGGCTCTGCAGGAACACAGTGACGCCTAACCAGTAGGTAAATCACGTCGTAGGGTCTACAGTTGCAACGAGTTGTGCGACAAGATAACTAACTGCAAGCATTTGACTGTAATACGTAATACAGTCTTAGTCGTCGTCCGTAAAGAAGCTGCTCGTACGTCCACGTTTGCGCGGCGACCGCTCCACAAGGAGCGGATCTGTTTCGCCTGCAGTCATGTGGAACGCACGGCCGACAAGCCAGTGCATGACGAGCGTCTCGGCAACGACCCAGACGAAGAGCGACGCCGCCGCCACCCCCAGCGCCAGTATCGGGTCTACGCCATTCTCGGACGTCGAGGCTTGCAAGACGAAAGCAATTGCCAGCGGCAGCAGCGACGAGAGACCGATGGGCATCCACCAATAGGCCTTGATGCACCTGATAGTGGCCACGTCCGAGTCGAGGGGCTTTCGCCCGCCATAGTGCGTTGACCGGAGCAGCAGCATCGCCAGCATCGTCGCCGAGATGCTGCCAAAGAGGAGCCAGAGTCCGAGCGGCGGCAGCTCGCGCTGCTTGGCGACTGCCACCATCGCGAGCTTGGCGGCGACGCCCAGTACGAGCAGCGTCGGCAGCAGCGCGTAGTGCGCTGCAACGAAGACAACGCCGTGGGCCACGGACCGCCGCATCGCATGCAGCTCGCGCGGCGGTTGGACCGCAAAGTAGAACATGGCCATCGTAAACACAAGCAGGAGCGAGAGGTGCACGGCTTGTGTCGGCTCGGCATTTGTGAAGAGCGCGCCGAGCGTCGTCTGCAGGAGCACGACGACAACGTACGTGCCATGGCGCTCGGTGATGTACTCGATCGAGACGGGAATCGCGATCGTAAGCGGGATGCACCAGCGCTTGATCGCCCACAGAAACTGCACAATGGTTTCGAGACAGAGCGCGCCGCCGTAGCAGGCAAAGGCGATGTGAGGCACGACGAGGCTGAGCCCGATCACGGCGCTGCTAGCGCTCAAGAGACAAAGGTCGGGCCAGAGCCGTGCGCGCGTCTCGGGCAGCATGGCGAACGCGTTGACATACATGGCGAGCATCGATAGGTGGGATAGAAGGAGCCCGTACCCGAAGGCAGCGCCCACGTTGGGCGAGAGCACCATGGAGGCGACGCCTGCGACGACAAAGTACAAGAGCAGGTAGTGCAAGAAGGACGTCTCGGCAAAGCGCGCGTGGAAGTGCGTGTACAGCTGCCATAGCGAGACAAAGAGGCCAAAGAGCACCAGCGGCTCGACGACGTCGGGCAGCGCAGTCGCCGCCTCGAGACGCGTTGCGATTGCGTACGAGGCTGCCATCATCGTACCATCGAGGACCAGCTCGACCCATGCGATGGCCTTGTGCTCGTAGTGGCCGGTCCAGTCGGCGCTTAGACGCGGGCTCCGGAGCAACGTTCGAAGCATTTGCGTGCCCCTTCAAGATCGCGAATTCGAATTCCATGTTTTTGCTGCGGTGGTGGTTTGAGGGAGTACCCCGCTGCACTGGCTCCAGGCGAGCGGCTGCAATCTCTCATATCGGCGCTTCAAGATTCTCGATGCGGGAAAGGTCAGTTGGCTGCTGAAAATCAGCATACTTGAACCAAGAGGCAAGGTTAAATCAGATCTGTGCCGGCGCGCGGTTGTCGTCCGTGTCGTCCACTGCACGGTAGTATAGATTGCGTGCGATTGTGCCACGTGTCGGCAGTAATCTGGTTGTAGCGAGGCCGGAACATCATCGGGCCTGTACGGTACCGATCGCATGCGCCACACGTGACGAGCGTGGATGGGAAGCGATTACTACCAACTGTGCACCAAGACACTGTCCATAGTGCCGCCGCAAGATGCGACGACCACTCCTCGCCAAGCTCTTCTCGAAGGGTCGTCGCCGCCGAGTTCCGGCCTCTCTCCGTTCCAAGATACCTGCTGTCCTGTGCTGCGTATCACGCACGTCGTGTCCTTTCGTAGGGACATAAAAAGTTGAAGTCGCACCATCAATGTTCACCTCGCGCACGACCTCGTATGGTCTTCGCCCTGCCTCTCGTCCATTCAGCGCCTGGAAGCGACTGGAACGACTGGAACGACTGGATAAAATATTGGGACGACACGTGTGCGTCATGTATACGAGGGACATGCGTATATCGCTATCGACCGAACAACAGGGTGCGGAAGGTGGTGGACAAAAAAACAACGCCGGCCAAAATGTGTGAAAGGCCAGGATCGCGCCTTGACGGGGGCCTAAAGCCACGGCCGGTTTTTTCACAGGTTGGCTACTCTCCAAGCCCTCGCGGCGACACGCAGGCGCGTTCTCTGCGAAATGCCACTCGTACTCAGCCACCGTGCCCGGACAGAGCACCGTCGTCACGACACCTAGTAGTGTAGTAGGATGGGCGTCGTTCCAGCGCGTCTGGAGAAAATACAGGCTCGTCTGTACACGCGGGGGTTGCTCCGACGTATCGTGCTCCGTCGTGATTGGGCACGCTTGATGATTGGATCGCAAGTGGTTCACGTTCCGGCTTGCACCCATGGCTTCTTGCACAGCGGAACGCCAGGAATTGGAGCAGGAACTTGAAGTTTAAAATTTCGGTATTTTTTCTAGCACTCAAGTAGCTTGTATTAAATTAATATCTTTTTTTCATCTAGATACCAGGCATTGTATTCACTCTTTATTAAAATAGGGTCGGCGTTTTATGGATCCATAAAAATACGAATAATACAATTCTGTGGACATGCATTTTGTCGGATGGTCCACTGGGTCGCGTTTGTGGCCACTTAATTAAATACCACGTGGTGCGTTTTTAATTCACAGCTGGGTGGCACCCTGTTTTTAATGGGTACGATCTACCACGTGGTGCATTACATTTGACCTTTGTATCTGACTCGGCGTCGGAGCGTGGACGGCGCCTTTAAAATGCCAAGCGTATTTTTATTCCAAAGAATAAAAATACGCCACCTGGTTCTCATCCAAACGTCGGCTTGGCCCTTTCTTTGGTAGGGGATTAAATTACCTTGGTTTTTGTATGCGTTCTCACTCCGACGTGATAAAAAGTACGTTCCGGCCAAATTGCTGGCGTTCCGACATGGCACTTGAAACGAACGCTGGCGTCAGAGCCCGGCAACAAACTCGAATCTCATTTTCCCTTTTCTCGCCCGCCCCACAGATGCCTGCTGACCTCCACCCGGCCGAGCTCTCGGCGTTCCTCATGGAAGGCCTCCTCGACTACACGTCGGGCTTTGCGTCCGACGACTCGAACGAAGCCGAGATCTTCTTCGAGGACTTTATCAAGTCGGACGTGGCGTCGCCGGCGCCGTCGGACGACAGCAGCCGCGCGCCCGAGTACCTCGAGCACACGACCAAGTACATGGAGAAGCTCTACACGATGCTCGAGCAGTCGCCCGAGTCGATTGCGGCGTGGACCAACAATGGCACGTCGTTTGCGATTTTCGACAACGCGGCCTTTGAGAAGAGCATCATCCCGATGTACTTCAAGCCCATCAAGTTTGAGAGCTTTGCGCGCCAGCTCAACTCGTACGGCTTCCGCAAGATGAAGTACTTTGCCAACAACATTGTCGTGTACGAGTTCCGCCACCCGCACTTTGTGCGCGGCAAGTCGGACCAGCTGCTCACGATCAAGCGCCGCCGCCGCGTCAAGAAGGTCGAGACCAAGCTCCCGGCCGAGCCGACGACCGACGCCGAGCTCCGCTCGACAATTCGCGAGCTCTCGTCGTTTGTCCAGACGCTGCACTCGGAGCTCCTCGACACGAAGGCCCTCGTGCGCACACTCCTTGACGAGCGCAACCAGATGCAGCAGCAGGCACAGCGCAGCAACAACTCGGTCTTCTCGCTGTGAGACGACGACTTGCTAGCTAGCTAGTCTCTATTTATTCGACGACGATACTACGTACGCTTGCCGCCTCTGTACCATCAATACAATCCGAATCTCTCATCATTTACACTTCCATCTCTTTGCGGTCGTGCTGATTCTTACAGCGATTCTTATTGCGGGATTCCGCGATGAACAGCGCCCCATCTGTCCTTGGCGCTTGCCCCCGTGCACCCGACAGCGCGGCCCATCGGTCCGACGCGCGTGGATGGGCCGTGAGAAGCCGACAAGTCGTGAGGCGTATAATTTAATCAAGTCAACGCCCTCGAAGTGAATGAGGCCGGAACGTCAGTTGCGAACCACCGCCCCAAGAGGATTTCACATACATTCTCATGGATTAGTCGCACGCAACTTTAGCCGGCATCCACCTCGATGGCTCCATGATGCTTGCATGAAAACTCGAATTCGATGGTTTCTAGCCCGTGAAATAAAGAGGACGTGCTGAAAGGTCTGCATTCGCTAGCGCGCATTCCACAATGGCACGGTCCTGCTCTGGGTACTGCCAGCAGTTGCGTGCAATTAGCCAACAACTCGGTGTGTTAGATTGACGCTGGATATGGTGAACTGTTTTTGTAACACGTTATAACAGCAAAACGCGCGGTGAGCGCTGTTTGGTTGGTTTTGCACGAGCCAAAAACGTAGCCGATCTTGAAGGCGCCGCTTCAAGCATGCGGAGTAAGGCCACTCGTGGCCGCACGTCGAGCGCCGAGGAGCAGATGGACGCCAAGGAGGCCTTCGCTGCGAACCTGCGGGCCAAGATCCAAGCGCTGCGGCAAGCGCCGCCGACCGCGGCTCGATCGGCAACGATCGATGAAGATGTGCCTGTGCTCCTGGCGCGCAAACCGAAGCGCAAGCGTACCGAAGCACCGACAGCAATTATTGCTTCCGCGCCCGAGAAGACCAGCGCCATTGTGACGCCGGCTACGAAAGCGGCAGTAACCAAGCCAGGACCGACGAAGCCAGCTGCAGCGGTGGCCAAGCCCTTGCTCGCTGCGCCAAAGCCTGTGACTGACGTTGCATCGAAGCCAATGTCCAAATCGCAGAAGAAGAAGGCAAAGAAGATGACCAAGTCGGTTCTGCAAGCGAGCACGACAACTTTTGTATCAACGCCAAGGAGCGAGCCTACGCCAGCATCGACGCTGCCCAAGCCTACGCCACCGACGCCCAAGCTCAAGCCCACGCCAGCCGCCGCAGTCGAGACTCACGCCAAGCCCGCGCCCATCAAAGCCAACGCGTGGGACATTCTACCCAGCGACTCGTCGAGCGATGACGAGCCGAGCGTCCGGAAGCCTGCTGCGCGCGCGCCCGCTCCAGCACCGTCCGACTCGGATTCGGACGACATTGGACCGCCACCAACGCTTCCAGCACGGACGACGCCGACGCCAACCAAGCCTGCCAAGGCTGCGAACGTACCTACCCAGGCTGCGACCGTGTCTACCAAGGATGCGTCCGAGTCTACCAAGGCTGCGATCGTGTCTGCCAAGGCTGCGCCGACGACGGTGAAACGATTGACGAGACCCGTGTATCGCGACGCATCGGATTCGGAAACGGAGTTTGCGTCGCTCTCGACACCGACGATGCCGCCGCGCGTCAAGCCCGCCGCTCCGCGCCAGCAGGTCGTAGATCTCACAAACAACAACGCTCGGCAAGCGCCGACAGCAGCCAAGGCCAAGACGGCGATCACCAAGGCAGCGCCCGCAAAACCGACCAAGCCCACACCGGCCCAGCCCGCTGCTCCTAAACCGGTCAAGAAGCCGACGATTCCATCCCGAAAACCGGTCAAGAAGACGACGATTCCATCCCCGACGCCAGACGACGCGCCCAAGCCGAGCACACTGGAAGAGGCTGCAAAGGCGATGAAGCGACTCCAAGCCCGACCAGTGGCCGTGCCCGTCGTCCCGGCGCATACAAAGCTCCCGGCAGGCAAGGCCGGGATTTACGCGTCCATCATTGACGCGGCGGCGGTCGAAGGCTGGGACCTCGTCGAGATGGGGCGGCTCGTGCGGCTCTTTTGCGCCCCGTTTCACTTTAAGCGCAAGTCGACGACCAAGTTTCTGCAAAAGCACTGCCCCGAGTTTGTGTGCGCGGACTTTCTCGAAGGCCTCAACATCCCTCTGCACGGGCACCAGATCGTGGCCCTGCTTCGCGCAGGGTCAACGTCGCCGAGTGCCCTCAGCGCCAAGCTCAGCGCGTGCCTCGAGAACGACGTGCTCAAGATCCAAGACGACAGCGTCTTGACGGCGTTCGTCGACCTCATTGACGTCGCGACCATGTCCCGCGACGAAATCTTTGGCTTCGCGCACGGGATCATCGAGAGCCTCCGGACGGTCGACGAGTGCTGCCGCGTGCTGCGCGGGCTCACGACCCATTGGGGCCAAGACGCGGTGCGCGACCTCGTGCAGCGCATTCTCCTGAGTCCTGTGTTTGACGACCTCGAGGGCGACCCGGAAGCGAGCGTGAGTGCGGCGTTCCCGCTCTTGACCAAGCTCGACTTTCCGTCGCGACTCGACATGGAAGACACGAACGCCGAAGGCAACCTCGACGACCTCTGCGTCGATGACGAGACGATCGAGTACGACCACAGCAGCCACGAGAGCGACGACGCGCTCGAGGACATGGAGGCCCGCATCGCAAAGAAGCGGACCACGCGCACGTTGCGACGAGCCACGACGACGGCCGCCATCGAGGAGGATCAAGATGATGACGACGGGTCGGACGACGAGTCGGACGAAGAAGAGGCCAGTGTCGCGGGTGAGTCGGAAGACGACGACATGCCGCATTGGAAGCCCAAGGCGAAGGCGACGCGTGCGCCGGCGCGCCGAAGTCGCTTCATTTTGGACGAAGCGTCCGAGGACGAGGACGAGCCCATGGAGAGCGATGTCGAGAGCAGCGATGAAGCGACTAGTGATTAACGCGTCCTAGTATACGAAAATCAAGTCTACCCACGCACTTTCGTTCGCCGCTGGTACGAGGCTGCTTTTCGTAAGACGTGTCGATCTAGTTCGCTGCATTGCGCACCTTGGACACGAAGGCACGGTTGCCTTCCATACCGGACGCCTGCTCCGTGACCTCCAGCGTGCTCTTTATCGACAGTTCGCTGCGGTTAAAAAAGCTTGCTAGCCAGACGACGCGAACAGAGACGAGACGCTCGAGTTGACGAGGCGAGCCCAGACGCCGCCGCGCTGGCGGCAGCTATTGTCGCCGAGCTTGGAGATGGTCTCGAGACCGACAATGCCGGGGGCCACATGGACGAAGACCGGCGGAAGTGTCGTCGCCGCCTGAAAGTAGAGGACGCACGAGTGCTTGGGTGCCGTGCGCAGTAGGATCTCGACGTCGAGCAAGCGCACGCGGTGCAGCGACCGCTCGTTGAGCCCGACGAGCTGGTGGCCTGGTGCGAGGCCAGCCGTCGTGGCACTCCGGTTGCACGCGAGGATGTGCACCTTTCGGGTCGTCGCCGCCAGTGTCAGCGTCGTTGCGCTCTCGAGCTGCGCCAGCACGTCGACGTGCGTGAGGCCAAAGACAGGGTGGCCATCGATGCGTAAGACGACGTCGCCGCGGCTGACGGCGGCGCAGAGCCCGAGGTCGGCTTTGGGCACGTGCAGCACTGTTGGCACATCGTTGCCGCCCACAGGAACTAGATGCAGACGCGGACTCATGGCTGTCGCGTCTGATATCGACACGGTGCGCACATCGTCGCTCGAGACGGCTTCGTGCAAGGTGACGCCTGCCGCTCAGGTCAGATAGAATCGTATGACGACGGGTGTACCGAGCCGGTTGTCCTTCCATTTGAACGGCACGAGGTGAGCGACGAGGACGCGCGTCCAGCGACGGCGACGGACGACGTCTGCGTCCCGCGCCCGGCCGCTTGACGCGAGTCCGTCCAGTTCGTGGAACGAAGGGCCAAAGACCCACCCGTTCGCATCGCAATGGACTGCAGCCGTGCACGGCTTCCACGTGTCGAGCCACCGAAACCCGCTGGGCGCGGCAAGGTCTTTCGGAAACCGCGGGAGACTTGGGCGTCCATCGCGCAGCGAGAACGGCGGCGGGTCGGCGGGAAAGCTCAAGTACTTGCGGTGCCAAGCATAGCCCTTGCGACGCTGGTTCTCGTAGATCTCGACCGTGTACACCTACACCATCGACATGAAATGGAGCTCTCTGGGGTGACGACGGCGCACACCTCGGGCTTGAGCGGCGCCAGGTGCGCCATGCGCTTGTTGAAGCGCGCATACCGCGTCCCATCGAGCTCCATCGCCAACTCAGAAAGAAATCTATTTTGAGATCGCATGACGTGGCACGCTGCAGTGCGGTGGGCGTAATAAAAGTGAAGAAGAAAAGAAGAGAAGATCGACTTTCGAAAAACGTCCTATCGTCCATCGCCATGTCCTTCAAAAGTTGACCCTCTATCCCTGTTGAACGATCTCATCCGGTCGTCGTGGTGGCCATGTTCGTAGCAATCGTAGCATGGGCTAGTCTGCCGGGCGATTTGTGGAGCCGCCTTCTGTGGGATATAGCTCATGGATCTTAGCGTGTTCTGCAAAGCTAGTCTTTTGCGAGTCTGGCGTATTGTTTGTGTGTCGTACTTGAGTACGAGTAGGGATGGAGGCTCCAGCGTCTGCGTTTTGACGAGAGACCGACGCAATGATAGCACCGACACGGGCGGCAACTAACCGTTCACTGCGTCATTCGTTCTAGTTGGCCGGACAAGAGAGGTTGACATCGAGCGTCAGAGTGGTTGGAGGCAGCGACGTGGCCGTCCTCAGTGGGCTCCATCGTGATAACACTTGGGAAAGGACAGGTTACAAAGTACTTTGACGGTGCTCGAATAGCAAGCAGTATATCATCGCAAAACGTTGAAACAAACACTCTTGGTTTCGCGAAACGAGTGAGCACTAGGACACGACGGCGACCTGAAAGTGACCGTTGGAGATGGTTGGAGATGTCACCGTTGGAGATGGCCGGATAATGCGTGCACCAAAGCGTGCCAGCTCACCTTCATCCGGATTCAGAAATCGAATCCAGCAGGAGTGAGCTGGAGCTGCTGCCAGTGTCATTCCTCAACAAGCCATGGCGGTGACGGACGACGTGAAGAAGGCGCGGCAGCGCGTTGCCGCCAAGAAGTACAAAACAGCGAACAAGGAGAAGATTGCGGCCCAGAAGAAGAAGTACGACGCTGCCAATGCAGAAAAAGTCCGGGCCCGCAAGAAGGCGTACTACGATGCCAACAAGGAGAAGGTGCTGGCCCAGAGCAAGGCCCTCTACAAGAAGAGCCGCGAGCAAGTGTTGGCGAAGAGGAAGGAATACCACCAAAAGAACAAGGCAGTTCTCCATGCCAAGGAAAAGTCGTGGCGCATGGCGAATCGGGCGTACAAAAACGCAAGCGAACGAGCTCGGTACGATGTCCTTGCAATCAAGCCGATTGATTTTCTCATGGTTTTTCCTAGTTACGCGCGAAAGAAGGCAATTGCGGCCGGCGAGATTCCGCCTCCCATGCCCAGAACCGCCGATTTCCGAGCTCAATACGAAGCCTCTGGTAGCGTCGCTTCGGCTGCGTCGACGGATGCGGCTCCAGACGACTTCGTTGACGAAGACGTCCCCCACCCCTTGGCGGTGGCCAGCAAGCCTATTGTCATGGTCAGCTTCACGGACGAGAATCCGTTTAACATGCGCAAGCGTGGGCCTGAGCCGTGCTGCGACGAGTGTGCGCTCTTCCAGCCGAATGCGCTCACGTCGGCCACCAACACGGTGCTCTTGGCGGGCACGTACATGTGTACGTTCTGCCGCGACTGGACCTACTACCGTCTCCACCGCAAGCACAAGCGCACCCGCGCCGACGCTCGCCTCGACGCTTTCTCGGCTTGAGTTTTTTGTTTTTGGATATTTGCATAATGAAGTGGGTTTAATCTCTTTAGTACTGCTTCGTACGCACATCGCTAGCAGCATTCTATCGGAATAGATGTGCAGAAGGACTTTTTATCGATTTGCTGGTGCGTCATTTGAAGGTAAGCTAGTTGCTGCCTCTGCCAGAGAGCACCTCCGTCCAAGTTTCGAAAGATCTGCGATGCAGGGGAGCGTGCATCTCGACCTCACCACCACGCGATCGGCGCTGCTTAGCTTCCAAGAGTCATGTAGCATCGACGCATGCGCTGCCTTCACTTGAGATGTACTAGTATGAAGTACGGTCGCAGTAGCTTGCTGCTCGCCGCGCAGGAGCACTTCAAGGAGCGTCTCTCTCGGCGAGCCAACTGCCATTCGGTTTGTCTTCCTTTTTTGCCAGCGCACACGATCTTCTTCTGCTGGTCGACATTGCCGTCATCATCTCGACGATCGTTGCCAAAGTCAAAAGATACGCTTTAACTCCTGTACTGTGTGCGAAGATCGCGTCGGATCCGAGAATCCATCTATCCATCCATCTATCCACCCATTAATCCATCCATCGATACATCGATCTTCCATCCATACCAATAGGATCGTCGCTGGCTGGCCACACACATTCCACACCGATCGGAATGGCGAGCCGCGTCAACAGTGCTCTCTGCGCCAAGGCCGACGCGATCCTGAAATTCTGGTTTGGCGCCACGTACCCAGCCACATTGGAGGTCAGAGCCGGCGTCTGGTTTGCCAGAAACCCCGACTTTGACGCGTCGGTCGCGGCGTCGTTCGGCGACCTCGTCGGGGACCTCGGCGCGACGAGCGCGTCGGCGCTGCTGCCGCTGCTCCACAGCAACCCGTTCGCCGTCAAGGTCGCCGCCGTTCTCTGCCTCGACCAGTTCACGCGCAACCTCTACCGCGACGACAAGCGGGCGTTCGCGTCCGACGACCTCGCGTCGACCTTTGTGCTCGAGACGCTCGCGCGTAGCGAGGCCGAGTTCCTCTCCGCCACGTCTTGGAGCAAGCGTTCTTCCTCATGCCGCTCATGCACAGCGAGGAGGCGGCGGTCCATGCGCGCGCCGCCGAGCTCTTCCCGCTCCTCCCCACGCGCACCGAGGACCCGCAGCTCCAGGGCATGCTCACGCAGTTTGCCAAGTACGAGGTCGACCACAAGAAGATCATTGACGCCTACGGCCGGTACCCGCACCGCAACAAGGTGCTTGGCCGCGAGAGCACGCCCGCCGAGGTCGAGTACCTCGCCGACCCGAACGCTGGCTTTTAGCGTTTTGCGTCGTCTTTAATGCTTCGACAAGCATGTGCTCCATCCTGCCTTGGTAGACCCACCGATGGAGATGATCTCCCTTGATGCAACGTACGATCCAAGGCCAACGATCGATGGGACGACGAGCATGTGTACATGTGCACAGAGAGAAGATATATGGATCGTAGTCAAGGGAATAGATATGCACACGAGGCAGTCATATCTACAAGGACGAGTTGCCGCGCGCCTTGTTGCGGCCCTTCACGACGCTTGCCAACGACCGCCGGTCGAGCCGCTTGGTTTTTGGATCGACGCACCGAGCGGCCCTGTCGCCGGCTGGTGGTACTCGCCAATAAAGTGGCGGTGGCCGCTCTCTTCGCCGCCTTCGAGAAGCGACTAGGCCATCGTCAGAACCCATCACTTTCCATAACTCCAATACGGTACCCAGTCTTGGTGCAAGGACGACATGGCGTTGAGAGAGTAGAGCGCGATCGCGAGCTGGCCCACTGGCCGACCCGAGAAAGACTGCCGAGAGACACTAGCAGCATCATCATCAGTCACATCAGCCTCATCGTGCTCAGCCGCTTCAAGTCGTCGTCGACGGTACCTGCACGGAGAGCGATAGGAAGAAGACGGGGCTGCACATGTTGCCCGTCTTGAGCGCCGAGAGGATGAACGAGATGAGGAGCAGTTCGGCGCCGTTGAGGTCGAGGAGAAAGCTGTGGTGCGAGACGCCTTCGACCAAGAAGACGAGCGGCAAGAGGATGCGGAACGTCGCGACCATGGCCGTCGAGCCTTGGGTGCAGAAGAGCTGCACGAGGAACGCGTACCAGAGACAGACAGGCGCCCACGGCGGCGCCCACGGAATCACATACTGGACGAGGAGCGGGAAGAGGTACAGGAAGGCAAAGCACGAGCCAATGTTGCGGTTCACAAGGAGACCGCGCAGCGCGAGCCGGTGGAACGACAGCGCGTACGACGCTACGTGGAGGCCCAAGAGCATGCACACGCTGAGGCCCACGGACGCGACCGCTTGCAGATGGAGCACGACCGCCGCGAGCCAGCGAAGGTATGTGACAACGAAGCCCCGGAGGTATACGGAGACCGACGGCGCAAGCGCATAGTCGGCCAAGTCGTCTGGTGGCGCTACGACCGCCGGCTCGTCGACGTCGCGCTTCTTCGCTTGCTGCAACTGCTTGCGCTCCTTGCGAGACTGCTCTTTGCGCAGTTTCTCGGCCCGCTTGGCTTGCTCCTTGGCGCGGGCTTTGGCCGACTTGGACTCTTCTTCGGCCTCGGGCGTCAGTTTGCTCGCGTTCATGTCTTCCGAGACGGTGCGCGCGCGGGTGTCGACGTCGTCGTCGGTCGACGGCACTTGGCTTTCGTCCTCGCAGCTCTCTTCGTTGCTCTCGTCGGCGGGCACGACGGCTTCGTCCGGTGTCGCCGTCTCGCTCGCCGCATCCTCCTCGACTTGAGGCTCGATGACCTTGACCGGCGTCGCTACCTTAGTCGCCCGCACAGGCGTCGACGGTGCACGCTTTGGGGTGCTCGGCGCCGGATTGGTCGCTCGAACCGGCGTCTGCGGTGCCTCGGTGGGCTTTTTTCCTGCCGCGCTTGGGGGCTCATGGCGTCTCGTGTCGTTGGCTTGGCCCGTGGCGGCGTCGACGGCACCGCGAAGGGCTTTGTTTCCTTGACCACCTTTTCCCGCTGCGTGGGGCGACGCGTTGTGCTGGCCCGCGCAGGCTCGGGCGTTGCGATCGTCGGACGCGGTTCAGTCACGATGCGCGGCGGCTGACGCGTCACTGGGCGTTCGGGCTTGGTGGTCTTGGTGGCGGCTTCCTGGGTCGGGACCTTGCGAAGCGGCGAGCGCTGCTGCTTTGCACGCGGTGTCGGTGCGGCGGGCAGCGCTGACGGGCGACTAGGATGCTGCGGCAGCGGCGAGATCGATTCCTTGGAGGAATTGGACGACGCTGACGATGGCGAGTCGACGGTCGCGCGCGGCGACGATGGCACGCTGTCCTTGGGAAGCTGCTTGCGCTCAGCCGCACGGGCAGTTGGCTTCTTGACAAGAGTCGTCTCGAGGGGCTCGTCGTGGGCGCGACCTTCCGAACGGACGCGACTAGGCCCAAAGCGCTGCGGAGACGCCGATACGTTCTTGGGATCTACCGTCGCCTCCGAGTGTGACACGACCACCGACGTCGTGTTGAGCTCGGCCAGATCCGAGTTGGACGTGTTGCTGTCGCTGCGATACATGGCCACCGGCGGCGTCGAGTGCAGCGGCGATGGCACGGCGGTCGGGCTCCGCATGTGCGACATGAAACCGCCGAAAGGCTGCGTGTCGGATCGGTGTCGCTTGAGGGTAGGCGCCGCTTGGACAGGGCCGGCAAGTCCCGGTGGTGCGCGGAGGGGTGCGGGACTCGCTACATGCGAGGCAATCGCGCTAGGCGCATGGCTCAAGTACGATGGACCGCTTGGGCGCCCGAACGATGGCGATTGCGTCGACGCCGAGCCAATGACACCGATCGAGCCCATACCAATGGGCCCACTACCGCCGTAGCCAAAGCCGCTGAAGGGTATACCACGCTCGCGGTTCTGTACAGGCATGGCCTCGCCGCCAAGGCCCGAGAGCAGCGAGTTGGATGGCTCGGGCATGCGGTAGCCTGCGTGCAGGTTTTGCGGACGCATGGGCTGGATGTTGCCAAAGGTCGAGGTCGGACGGGCACGGAAGGAAGGTGCAGGCGTCTTGTCGACGACGCGGCGAGGGGGGCCATCGTCGGCGATGCCACCGGGGAGGAAGTAGGCCGCCCCGGTCTCGTCGTCCGAGTCGTCCATGGCGGAGGCGGCGCCGTCGAGCGGATTTTTCGGAATTCACCATGGCCCCGTGACCACAGCCCGAAACGTACTGTACGGCTTCGTACATTTGCAATGTACGGTACCCATACAAACGAAGCATCAACCCGGCCTGTACGGTCTGCGACAGCGACTGGGCGGTCGAGTCGACTGGCCCCAAGCGTCGGCCGGCGCATGGCCACCTCGATCCTATACGAAGGCCATGGCGGCCTTCCGCCGGCGACAGATGTGCCCGGCTGACTCTGAAAGCAACGATTGCGCTAGGCATTGGCGTGCCAAGCCGATATTAACTCATCATGCACAGGTGCATGTAGCCGTCGCCACGCAGCTGCGCCCACAAGCGTCGCATAGTACGCCTCCTCCTCGTCTACAACGGCGGCCATGGCCTGCCTACCTTGGCCGCACGCCTGCTCAAGATCGTGCCGGGTTCGGTTGCCACCTCGGGCGGCTTGCGACGGCGCCGGATACTGGGTTCTCTGTCCGGCCCTCGCTTCATTTTATACCGCTCGTGGCTGCTGCGATACAAACGTCAAGCTATTACAATCCGGTCTCGTTTTTTATGAAACCGGTTACACGACCGAACCGGCGGTTATCCGTTTGAAAAAATCGTGCGAGAAACGTCTGGATCTTTTTTATTGCGCTGGCATCTTTTGTCTTTGCATTATATTAATATTGTGTTTTCCGTAAATTGATATGCTGTTTGTATGCGAATTTAAGGCAAGGAGAAAAAGCTTAACGGTTGGGAGAAAAATGCACATGGTGCAGCCACTGCGCGCCGCACACGTCAGCAGTGAGATTTGCTTGCTTGCGACTTTGCATTTTCGAGGTAGGTCGAGCGCTGGAAGCATGAACATCTTCCGCATGCTCGGAGACATCACGCATGTGGCCAGCTTCGTGGTCATGCTGCTGCGCCTGCAGGCCGGGCGGTCGGCCTCTGGCATCTCGCTCAAGTCGCAGGAGCTCTTCTTCCTCGTGTGCGTCACGCGGTACCTCGACCTCTTCACGCACTACGTGAGCCTGTATAACACGACCATGAAGCTGCTGTACCTCACGCTCACGGGCGCGATCGTGTACCTCATCCGCTACAAGGAGCCGTTCAAGTCGTCGTACGACAAGTCGCTCGACTCGTTCTTGCACTGGAAATTCGCGGTCTTGCCCTGCGCGATCCTCGCCATCATCTTCAACGAGCGCTTTGAAGTGCTCGAGATCCTCTGGACGTTCTCCATCTACCTCGAGGCCGTCGCAATCGTGCCGCAGCTCATCTTGCTCCAGCGCCACGGCGAAGTCGAGAATTTGACCTCCAACTACGTCGTGCTCCTCGGCATGTACCGCGGCTTTTACCTCCTCAACTGGATCTACCGCGCCGCGACCGAGTCCCAGTACCACACGATCTGGCTCATGTTTATCGCTGGTATCGTGCAAACGGGTCTCTACGTCGACTTTTTCTACTACTACGCCATCAGGTGCGGCGACGAGGCATCGCGCCAGACATGTTCACAATTGTCTCTTTCTGTAGCAAGTACCATGGCAAGAAGATGTCGCTCCCGACCTAAGCGTCCGACTAGACCATCGACGTATGAACCGCGCGGACGACCCACGACCGATCGGCTTCTTCATCCGCAGAGTATGATTGCATTTGCAATAGACTCTGCATGGTGCCTTTGGTCTTTCTTGCATGCTCAACGACTCGACGCACGGCAGATGAACGGATCCCATGCACGTATCGACGACGGTCCAAGTGAGCTTGGGCAAGGGACCGTTGGATTGGGCGAGGCGCCGCGCAGTCCAGCCGGCGGATCACATAGTGGGGAACATGCAGATACGCGGTGGTTCCGCCGAGCGTTCAAGAGTCAAACAGAGTGGTCGGACCTTTCCCGCCCTCCACTGATGTAAGAACATAGTTGGTTCGCACGATCCACCACCCGATGTAGCAGCTACAACATGAGGTCGGCAGCACAGTAGACGTCGTATTGGTGTTGCGGGCCGTCGCTCGCTCAGACGTCAAAGAGATCAAAGTTGACGTGCTTGCGGACGTGGGCGGACGCGAGGTTGAGTCGCTTGAGGTCGTACCGGTTGAGCTTGGCCGTGAAGCCCGCGATGCGCGCCGTGAGCGTGTAGCTGTCGCACGTCGTCGGCGGCACGTAAATGCACGGGATGTTGCCTTGCTCGAGGCGCGCGATCAACTAGTCACATCGTCGCACTCACGCGATACGAAAGAGCTGCTTACGCTCGGGCTCGGCGGGTCCCACCCCGTCATGATGAGGCCCGGGTGGAGGTTCTCGCCCCGCTCGCGAAACACTTCTTGGTTGTGCAGCATCGCATCAATCACGTCCATACGGCCGCTGTGCATACAGCAGATGAGGCACACACTCACTACATCGATACATCCAAGAGGTATACCGTGATGACGAGCTGGCTCTGCACGGGCTTGAACACGTTGCGCTCGTCGACCGGCGCCAAGGCGAGACGGACGTTGGCGAAATAGCGCAGCTTGGCCTCCTTGCCTACACATCAAGCCACGCGCACGCATCCTCATTCAACGCACCGGAAACGAGATCGCACTTGAGAAGCTTGCTAAAGTCCGAAATGGACGGGTGGCATAGGTCGTCGAGCTATCCACACACAGAGTCACAGAGCCAGTAGAACGGCAAGGGTACCTGGGGAATGCAGCCGATGAGAGGCACGTCCCAGCGCTTCAGCGCCCGCGAAAAGTAGTCCTAATCCGCGGTAGCGTGATCGTGCAGAAAGCGGGTCGTAGGAGTACCTGGACCATGTCCATTTTCCTCGGGTCCACCTTGTTGACGATGACACCCTACACGAGGTCATCAACTGCATCATTGGCGGTGGTATACCTTGAGCTTGATCCCGTGCTTAATGAGCATCTCGCGGTTGAGCGCGAGCTGGTCAAACGACGAGCCGAGGCCGCCGAGCGCGATGCAGATCGCGTCCATCTTGAGCTCCTCTGCACTGCATGTTCATCCACATGCGCTACGTGAATGTTAGCCTACCTGCAACTTGGGCGTTGTTGAGGTCACAGATCGAGCCGACGCCCGTATGGCCAGTGCCCTCAAACACGATAAAGTCGCTGCTCTTGACGAGGTTGATGTGGGCCGACGTGATGGCGTCCTTGAGCTCGCGCAGCGTGACCTTGCCATCGATGTAGTCGCGCGTGAAGCCATCGGGGAAGATGACGGGTGACATGTCCTTGTAGTCGTGGATGAGGCCAAAGTGCTCCTTGAACAGGAACGAGTCCTTGTCGACGCGGAGGCCGCCGCCGACGGGCACGTGCTGCTGGCCGACGGGCTTGCAGTAGGCGACTTGGCGGCTGCTGCCGGCGAACTTGTCCTGGAGGTGGGCCACGAGCCCGAGACACGTCGTCGTCTTCCCGACATGCTGCCCCGTCGAGAGCACGAGGACTTGCTTCCGAATCATGGTGGCCGCCATCGGAGGATTCGACTTTTTTGACGTCGCCCTCAGGATTGGCCGAAATCTTTCTTTTTGGCCAATCACTTCTCAGAGAGGATTGTTGCGTCGACGATCGATCGCACTTGAAGTTCGACGTTAAAATCACCGATATAGCTATAGCAATTGAGATCTATAATAACTCCGGTTGCTATAGCACTTTTAGGCTATGATAACTCCTGGTTTGTGCTATCCAAAACTTACAATATGTGCCAACGCTGCAGCCAGCTGGTCGCTGTTGCTTGGCGACCGATAACACCATCGCATGCCGCTCGCTTCCCCATCGCTTCCCCATCTCTTCGCGTTAGATGAACCCAAGGGTATAAGGTCCAAGATGAAACACAGAGCCTGCCTACCCATGTCGATAGCGAGAGCCGCCACCCCATGGAACACAATGCAGTGCGATATTTGGTTGATCATTATATCGGTTTAGTCCTCGTAGAGCTTTTTAATGCGCTTGTACTCCTTTGTGTATTGGCTCTCGACGAGCGACGCGTCACGGAACGTCGGCCACTCGGGGAACTCGGCGAGAAGCACGTTCGGGTTGTAGCTCAAGAGGAGGCGAATGCCTTGGCTGATGTCGTTGAGTGTGCGCGCGAGGTCGATGTGGTCCTTGTCCAGAAACATCTTTTGCAGCTCGTGGAGCTCGTACGACGAGCGGAGGAAGAGGATCGCAATGTCTTCGATCGACGACGTCGACGTCTTGCGCTTGAGGAGCGAGTCGCACGTGTCGGCCACGAGCTTGTGGATGCGCATGAGCACGATGTGGTCGTGCGCGACGAGCTCCAGCGCGTCCGAGAGCGTCTCGAGCGCAGCGTGCAGCACCGTGCCGGCGTTCACGGACGGGTTGTCCGCGAAGAGATCTTCGAGCATCGCCGCCGCCTTCTCCACGTCCTCCAACGTCGTCTCGGCCGTCTCGGCGGTCGGCGGCGCGGCCGAGAAGGCATCGCCACGTCCGCAGAGGGCGCAGTGGCAAGCAAAGCCAAACTGCTTTTGGAGCTGCGCCTGCCGCCGGCCACGGCTTTGCTCGCGCGGGTAGAGGTACGAGATCATGAGCTGCTCGCCGTTGCGAATGAAGCGCGCGGCGCGGACTTCCGAGACGCCGAGCGACGTGAGGGGCGTGAACTTGACGCAATTCGGGTTGCAGTCGTGGTTGAACATGGCCGTGTGGAGGAAGACGCCGCTCGTGAACGCATTGCACTGCATGCCAAGGACCACTTGGAGCCACTTGTCAAACTCGTGGCTGCGCTTGTGGTTGCTCAAGACGGACTGGAGCGGGTTCGTGTACTGGGCGTGGGCCGCGCTCAAGAGCGGCGATGGCAAGTCCGTCAGCCGCACGGGATGCAGTGGCGCCATATTGGACGCAATCTCGTCGGCGTCGTCGCAGCGCAGAATCTGGTCGACGGTCGCCACGAGCAGCGCGTCGCGGTCGTCGACGTCGGGCCACTGCACGTACGCACGCTCGCGCAGCAGTAGCGTGCCCGCAGGAATGTCGCACGCCGCATAGTAGCCGCGGCCGCCGCCAAACTCGACCGAGTTGTCGCGAAACTCCATCGGGCCCATGAAGTCGGGTGCCATGTGCGCCCAGAGCGACGGCGTATACTGCGACGGCTTCATGACCGTCGGCGGCGCCGTCGCCGGGTCGGGTGTGAAATGCAGGTGGACCTCCGTGCTCGTCTTCGTCGCCACTGCTGCCTCGTGGTAGCCGTACTCGTCGTCGCTGCTGTCGTCGTCAAAGAGCCCAAAGGCCTTCTGCACGCTGTCGCTACTCGGCGCCGCCATCGCCGCCAAGCCCAAAAATGAAATCGGTGGATATCTCGGGCATCCGGATACTGCAGTGGTGTATCCGAAATCCATGGGCTTGACGCGCAAGATCGCAAAAGCCGGGACAGCTCGGATGATCCGACGAGCCGCACAGGAATCGTAGACGAGCAAAACTACTCTCTGACGTACTGCTAGTACTCTCACGTACTACTAGTACTCTGACATCGATTGTCTTTCATATGTGTTCATTGCTGGATCACATGCTTCCCCGATACCAAACCGAATAATCAAAAAGCTCGACTCCACCCTGCACATACCTTCTGCACAGATCAAACTGCTGCACGTGCTACGCCGCAGGAACACCGCTAGATTGTCCATCGACCCTATGTCCCACCTTAACCATAAAGATTAACCACACCCTGCCCCATGAACAGACGGGGTTAAAGCCAGCAGACGTATTTGCACAAACTATAATCCCTCCTTTTGCTTGCATTTGCCGTTTGCTTGCCTTAGAGCCCACCGTGAGAAAGTGATTTATAGATCAATGCGCCACGTCAACATTACGGAGCGATGTGTCACTCCAAGGCCGCAAGCGCCCACAAATGACTACAGATGAGCAAGCCCCCGTATGTGCAGACACGACACCGGTGAACGAATAAAGACACTGGAGACTGCTCGTCCTCGGTCTTCGCGGTACAGAACAACCCAAAACGCATAGAACTTATTGATATATAGTGCAAGAGAGAGTCATTGGAGCTAGCTCGTCAGGTCGCACGCAGTGAAGAGCACGCAGCTGAGCTTTGCAATGTCGGCCATGAGCGACGCGACCGTGCCATTCGTACCAGCGCCCGCGCCCTTGAGAACAATCGCCTCGGGGAACCACTCGGTCGTGAGGGCAAACAAGCTCTCGGTCCCTATGCATTTATAAGCTTGCCGAGAGGTTCAATGAGCCATTCATCGCCATACATTGCAGGCGGTAGAAGCTCGAGTGGCGATCGTAGTGCTCAAGTCCGACACGGATCGCGCCGTCCGCGTCAAGGCGCCCCGTGTACATGAGGACGGTATTGGACGCTCTCGAGTCGTTGAGCTGCGCTTCAAAGGCTACCGCGCACACACATGAGGCGCCTGCATCGATACGACTGATACCTGCGTCGAGCTGAGGCAAGCCAGCGAAAAACGCAGAAAGCGACAAGTTGTGCATGCTGGGTGGCGTCAGGTCTTGGACCAGCACGGACGCCATGTTGGTCGTGTGGCCGAGCTCGCGCGCGAGGATGAGCATCTTGCGTGCGGCGACGCGGCCCTACGCGCAATGAGCTTTCATGCCAAGCAGGACCCGTCGCACCGAGAGGTCGTCGCGCGGGTCATCTTCCGTGAGTCCATTCTCGTAGGCCGATACCACGGCCTCACTGAACGGGCTTCCGCTACGCCATCGCATATGAGCAGGCTGGATGACGTGGGTGACGATGTACCGGTGCAAGGCCTCCATGATGAATGCGATGGCGTCGCTGAAGCGACACTCGATGCCCTGAATGTCGTCACCTGTCGCCTTGACGCGGTTGAGCGTCGGCAGGATCGGGAGCCCGCTCCCAACCGTGGCCTCGTACGACACCAAGCGACTGCGCTTCGGCGGACGATCAAAGACGAGGCGCGCGTACGTCTCGTTGTAGTTGCCCGCCAAGTGGTGACGATTGGACAAGACGAGCCCAAAACCCGCCTTCCGCGCCAAGACGAGGTCCTTCCAGTGGTTGCCGTGTCCGGCGCAGTCGACGATAATGTATCGATCGCAGGCGCCGAAAGCTAGCATCGTCATGACGACGTCGCCCAAGCTGGTCGCGTGGCGAACGTCGCTGGTCTCGTCGTCGTCCTCGAGCGACGCGGCCTCAAAGCCGTTTGCCGATAACGTCTGCGCCTGGCTCCACGTAAAGCCCGTCGGCTGTTGGAGAAAGCCGCCTGTCTTGGCGTCACCAACGGCCACGACGTAGAGATGGCCGCCGCAAAAGTCGATGCGCCTCTCGGCCTCGTGGGCAGCGATCGCCGCCACGAGGCTGCGAGGTACGACGCCATGGCCGACGATCACGAGCCCGACCTTTCGCGCGTCGCAGAGTGTTTGGCCAGGGTGCGGGTGCTGGGCGTAGAGGTGCATCTGGAGCCACAGGGCCGTCAAAGCGACCACGACCGCCACCGGCCACCACGCCATGTCAAAGATTTGCGTTGTTGGATCCATCCGCATAGACGTGTGCATGTATCCGGATGGTACGAATCTCGAGTGTGGTCGAGTTGGGCCTTGACGAGCCATGGTGGGCTTGTAGTACATGTAATATACTACGTAGTACTACTAGTACCAGCGATACACCGTAGCATTCAAAAACGAATGAGCGGCCCCAGCGGGGCAACGACTAGAGGTATCGATCAAGACGGCAGTCGAGTTAACCCTCCGAGGACGGAGTGGCCGATTTTCGGCCACAGCGATTTTCCCAGCAAGAGCGTCCACGCAGACCTGTTTGAAGGCTCGCGAGAGTACCGCATCTCGAAAACAACGGTCCATTGCTTTCGTACCTTTTTGGTAGGTGCTAGCTAGTACTAGTACGTGGATTTCTTTATACGTCGCATCTTTCATCACATCGTAGCTTTGGCCCGACGGAGCTCGTATGGCCACGACGGTGTGTGCTGCGAAACGTGGCGCCGGCGGTCGATGCGAGACCGATCGCCTTGATGCACGGTCCAAGCTTAGCACAGTCCTGCAGCTGCGCAGTAGCCAGCCCATTCAGATCTTGCCTTCTGGACATAGGATCGGGACCGAAGGTGCTGTTCCAGTGCCAGTTAGTCGATGCCTCGCTTTCTAGTCGAGGCGGGCGTTGCACCCGTTCCCGAGTCCTCTCGTCCAATCTTGTAGCATGTTGTACTAGGCTGCATGTGGGGCGATGCTAGAATACGTGCGACTCTATCGTCTAATAATGTCAACAGAAAGCGTTCTTCCAAGGTGATGGATACTGTTGTCGAATCGTCGTGCGACAAGAGTGGGACCAAGAGCTCCACGACGACATCCTTGACGCCGCCGAGAATCGATCGCCGCTTCCGGTCGCTTCTGCTTCTTCGCGTCAACGGCGTACGGAGCGTCCATGCCATAAGAACGAGGCGCGTGCTTCGAAAACGCAGCTTTGCCATCGACGTCGACGGGACGCGGCGCGCGGATTGGCCCTCGTCCCGCAACCCTTGGGGCCAAGTATTCGAGGTCTGATAGCATGCTTTTATTGGCTCTGTATAGAAACGCCAATATCGTTTAAAAGAAAGATTTTATTCAAGAAAGCCGCGCGCTGATTGGTCCGAAGTGGCATTTGATGCACCAGGTCCATTCGCACTCGGAGGAGCGAGGACGATGATGCGGACGACGCAGCGCATGCGGAGGTGGCTGCGGACGACCATGACGTCGCGCCGCGCCAAGAGCTTCTTTCCGGCAGCCATGACGTGGCGCCGCAGCGTCCTCTCCATTGCGCTCTACCTCACGCTTGCGTTCTATGCCAGCAGCGCGAGCGACGGCGCCCAAGGCCGCCAGCTTTTGCAGCGCTTGGGCCAGTCGTGCGACGTTGACGACGAGTGCCAGATTCTAGGCCGTCGCTTTGGCTGCGTTGAACATGCCTGCGTGGAGCAAGGTCTCTTTCCGCTGCAGACCACCGACCTCTATGGCACGATTGGCGCCTTCCTCTGCGTCATCGTGTCGTCCGGTAGGTCATTGTCGCATCGCTTTGCCCTTATGGAGCCTTGCGCTAGGCGGCGGCCTTGGCGGCGGCGGTCTTCTCGTGCCGCTCTACATCATCGTACTGGGCATGACGTCACACGACGCGATTCCGCTCTCCAAGGCCACGATCTTTGGCAGCGCGATCGCTAGCATGCTCCTCAACTCGCGCAAGACGCACCCGCTCGACCCCGACCGGTACACATGCGCGTCCTGTCGATACAAACATCATTATTGTGTTGGTTTAGACAACTCATCGATTACGAAGTTGTCGTGATGATGGAGCCGATGACACTGGCGGGCACGATCCTTGGCGTGCACATGAACAAGATGTGCCCCGAGTGGCTCATCACAGTCCTTCTCGTCTGGCTCCTCTCCAGCACGAGTCTGCGCATGATCACGAAGGGCAAGTCGGTCTGGAAGGCCGAGGCCGCAAAAGAGAAGGCACTTCTGACGTCGATCGTCAGGCATTGGGCGTCGCTGGTCGCGGCGCGCCGCTTTGGCGCCGTCGTCGTCGTTGCTGCTCGCAAATGGCGTGGGCTCAAAGCACTCAAGGCACTCCAAGCGGAGGTCACAGCTGTTGCCTTGGTCATCCAAGATGCCCCGATCAAGACCAACCTCCAGGAAGCCGACGAAGCGACGACAGCTTCGTCCGACGACGACGACGACACTGTCAATGACGCGTACGATGACGACCACGCGTCACTGCTCGGACGCAGCGCGACAACCAGTAACAAAGCGCACTTGTCGCGCTCGCGTTTGCTCGCATTTCGGAAATTTGTGCCGTGGGGTGACCTGACCATCCTCTTCTTCGCATGGTTTGGTCTGCTCCTCTTCTCGATGCTCAAGGGCGGTCATGGCGCGCCCAGCGTCATCGGCCTCGATTGCGGCAGGTGCGCGTCGTCCCACGTGCCAGTATCATAACTCCTTCTTAGCGCTGCGTACTGGCTGCTCACGGCGCTCTCGCTGCCCTTCTTTGTCGGCGTCACGGCCATCTTTGGTATCAAGATCGCAGCTCGGCACGAAGCGCTGCAGTCGTTTGGCTACAAGTACGTCGAAGGCGACATTGTGTGGACGAAGCGCACCACCGTGCTGTACCCGGCGCTGTGCACGATCGCAGGCGTCGCCGCCGGCCTCCTTGGCATAGGCGGCGGCATGGTCAAAGGACCGCTCTTGCTCGAGATTGGACTCCACCCGCAAGTCGCGTCCGCCTCGTCGTCGACCATGATTCTCTTCACGTCGTCGGCCACGACGCTGCAGGTACTCGCGGCAATCCCATGCTCGTTCCGGTGGCATATTTGCATGTAGTTTATTGTGCTCGGAATGCTGCCGTACGAGCGTGCACTCTGGTACGGCATCGTCGGCTTTGCTGGCGGCGTCGTGGGCCAACTCGGGCTCAGCTACCTCATCAAAAAGTACCGCAAGACGGCTTTTGTACTCTTTATGGTCGCCGCCGTGATCGCAGTGAGTGGCGCCGTCATGGGCGTCCTCGGTCTCCGCGGCGTCCTTCTTCATGGCTTTACCGGGTTTCATTCGCTTTGTCAAGCGTAAACAATCAATGGTCGAGAAGACCGGAATACGGTAGTAATACGTTCTTAGTCTTTCTGACATGCTGCTGTTTTGTCTATGGTATATCCTGCGTCTGTACACGGCGGCTACGGAAAGAGTGCTTGGAGGTACCCGCCGTCGGGTCGCGGCAGCTCGGCCGTCGACTCGTTACCTTGCAGCCACGCCTACACCGCGCTTCGCCTCTCGTTGGCGACATTGCACACGACAGTACCTCGATATGTGCTTCGATGACGGCAAAGGTGTGGCGGGGCGAATATGCAATCGGTCCAACCGCTGGTACGTTCCACAGATCGACGTGGCGCGCGTCCAGCAAGAGGCAGCCGTCGCCCGTTGTCGGCAACCGCGCGAGCGTTGCGAGTATCCGCTGCTTGTGAAGACTATACTCGAGCAGGTCTAGACACATATCAGAATAGAGTCATGTCGTGCACGTGGGCTACCGTCGAGGAGCGCATGCGTGACAAGGTGCGCGTCGACGGCCGCATCGGCCTGCGTGTACATCCATTTCATAAAGCCTGTCTCGACGAGGCGCTTCAAAGGGTCGTAGAAGACGCCGTTCTTGCGTAGCTGCGCGTCGGCATTCGCGATTGCGTCGTCGAGAAGCCGGTGCCCGACCTTGAGCGCCGCGACCTTTTGCTGTAGAATGTCCATCTCGGCAAGGCGCTGCGCGCGCTCGGTCGTCTCCCGCTCTTTGGCTTCTTGGGCTGCGACCGCCGCCTCGACAAGCTTGGCGACGCCGTCGGCTTCGACCCGCTTCTTGACGTGCAAGTCGCTCTACGTGTGTGGGTTCACATACGCTTTGCGGGAGGCGAGCTTGTACGAGGTAGAGAGAGATGTGGTGGAGCTCGGTTTCGCGCTCGACCTCGGCCCGCGCTTGCTGCAGCGTCTTGTTGACGAGGACATTGAGGAGCGGCTGGACCTCGGCGTCAAAGTTGAAGAGGCCGTCTTCTTCGAGAATCTACGCGTCGTCGAGGTCAGGCAAATGAACACGAAGGACGAATGCACGGACCTCGGTCGAAGCATCGATGCCGGTCTTCTTGAGCACAAAGGGCTTCTTGTGCTTGTCGTTGGGCAGGAAGGCGTCGGTCTGCGTCTGCACGTCCAAGCTCTCGATCGTTGGTGTCTGCTCGACCAAGAAAGCGGTCAAGTCGACAGGAATGTCTACGCTGCGCGTGGGCGATAGCATGTGTTGTCATGCACATACACGTGCTGAGTGATGTCGGTGGCTCGTAAATTGAGTTCTTCTTGACAGGTACTGTCGGCGGAGGGGCCGTGGGCGCGGGCGGCGCCGCGTCGCGCTTGAGATGGATCGAGTTCTACGGGTCGTGTGAGCACATCCAACTACGCGCAGGCGAGTACGTACTGCTGCGGCGTACACGCTGCCACGTGCGACGCGCGGGTCGTTCATGATGTTGAAGACTGTGCTACACAAGCCATAACGTGGTTCGCACTCGGCGGCCTGCCACGATGGTGCCACGTACTTGCTCGGCTTCTTCTCGCGGTACTTGGCGCGCGTTGTCTGCACTGGCCGCGGCTTGGCGGCGAAGGAGTATTGGACATCGTCCATCGTCGTCGTCGTCGTTGTCGTCGTCCTCGTAGCAGCCGACTCGATGGGTGTCGTCGTCGCACCTCGTCGCTGCCGACCTCGCCAAGCGCCGTTTCGACGAAACGCAGGTGGCACGGTATCCGGTTTTCCGGATACAGAAAAGCAAATCCACCGGCTTGGCGCCATATCCATGCGCTGCACCCGACGTGCACGCTCTACGCGCGCTCATCGCGGGCTGAGATTACATAGAGGTATTAGAGCAGCGTCTAGTAGCGGGTTCACGTGACGCTGGGCTTGGTAGCGCCGTCGATACCTCGAGGTTGGGCTGACCTGCCCAATACTGTGCCAACAGATATTTGCAAGATTTGATAAAAAGAAAATTCGAAACCCTATATTTCACAGTGCATGATAAACCTTTGAGACTCGATATATTGCATGTTGTTATGATCCTCGGCTGAGATTCATGCACATACTGGGTCTGTGCTGTGGGATATTTGATGCTTCGAAAGACTTCAGTGTTCGAATCGCGAGCTCCGATGGCCGACGTGGCGCGACCGACGACGACGACGAAGCCGCCGGACGTCAACATCTGGGCGGCGACGATCGCCAACGACTATGCGACTGTCGAGCGTCTCCTGCGCGATGGCGTCGCAGCGAACGAGCGCAACTCGCTCGGCGAGACCGCGCTGCACCTCGCGGGTACGGTCGGCCACGTCGTTCGACGCTCACAGCGATGAACGTAGCCTCGCGCGGGTACGACGACCTCTTGAGTCTCTTGCTGCGCCATGGCGGCAGCCCGCATATGCACGACAAGGTACGCCTGCGAGGCCATTCTATCGATCGCGGCAATATCGGGCTGTGTAGGAGTCGGGCTACACGCCATTGCATCGAAGCCTCCTATATGACCATATCAACAGTACGATTCTATCAAGCTCGTTGCAAGCGTTGATCCTCTTGGGTAGCTTCCTTGCTCTTGCTCAACGCCGGGGCGCACTTGACGGTCGAAGAAAGCAGCGCGGTCGTCGACCACGATGGCCTCGCGCCAATGGACCTTCTCTCCGCCAAGCTCAGCGCGACGTACCCGCACCAGATGGCCTCCACGCGCGGTGGCGAAATTTATACCTTTGGCAAAGTCGACTTCCAGGTACAATCGCCCAAGCGCCGTCGTGGCGTAAGGCCGACTAGCTCGGGTACCACCTGCCGCACGGCGACGAGCAAGTGATGCCGCGCCGGGTCAAGTTGCCGCCCAAGACGGACATCGTTCAGATCGCAGCCGCGCGCTACCACACCTTGGTCGTCTCGTCGTCGGGCGAGTGCTTCTCCTGGGGCTTTGGAAAAGGCGGCCGGCTCGGCACGGGTACCGAGTTCAAGTATCGTGATCGTCTTTTGACTCGGTACTATGACAAGATTGTTTCGATAGCTGCATCCACCCGGTGCCCGTACCGTTTCCGCAGCGCACAGTGGTCAAGGTGGCTGCCGGCGAGAACCACTCGCTCGCGCTCACCACCGGCGGCCAAGTACGCTTGTCTCCACTACGTTCTTATCGCCTCAGGCGGCGTGTAGATCTTTTCATGGGGCTCCAACAGCTTTGGCCAGGTAGACGCGAGCCATGTGGAGCAGGACCTCGATGTGTGCGTAGCTCGGGTTTCCGCTGAAACTCACGTCGGCCTCGAGCCGTCTCTCGCCAAAGCGCATCGATGCTTTCAAAGGCGTCGTTGTCGTCGACATTGCTGCCTCGTCCGTCCACTCTGTCGCCCTCACAGAGTCGGGCCATGTATTTAGCTGGGGCAGCAACAAGAAGGGTCAGCTCGGCCGCAAGGTACAAGAAGATAGCAATCTTGTGTTGGCGATGAAGAGGGGTGGTAGGAAGGATTTGGAACGGATCAGGGCTTTCCGTCGCCCAAGCGCGTCGACGCGCTCATGCGCACTCGGCGGTGCTCGGCGACGTCACGCACGTTGCTGCCGTCAAGGTCCGTCGTCGCGTCATGACGTGCAATACAATAAGTCGTTTGCGCGTAGGTGGCCGTGTCGTGCAACCACACGTGCATCGTCCTGAACGTCGAGAAGGAAACGTCGGCGGCAGTCGTGCAAGGCCAAGTGTGGCAGTGGGGCTATAACGCGTACTTTCCGTCGCAAGTCTTGTTGCGGCACGTCTCCAAGGAGAGTCGGCTCCGGCAGCACCACCGCAACCTCTGGGTCCCGCGCTGCCAGCAGCACGCGATCAGTATCGTCGACATCTCGTGCGCGCCGCAGCATTCCATCGGGCTCAGCGCCTCGGGCAACGTCTACACCTGGGGCCATGGCCCTGGCGTTCAGTCTCCAAGTATCAACTACGTCCCCCTCGCCCACCGGGCGGTAAGCGTGTGTGCTGCGAAAGAGCACTGCGCCGTCGTCTTGGCTACCGGCGACGTGTACACCTGGGGCTGCGGCTCCCTCGGTAGCGCTTGCATGTTTAAGTGTTGTGTGCTGAATTAGTAGTATGTTGGTGTAGGCCACGAAGGTCGCAACTGGCAGCCCGTGCCAAAGCGCGTGCCCAGGCTCAAGCGCGCGTCCGCCGTCGCCGCCGGGCCGCAGCACACGGTCGTTCTCGTGGCGCCCGATCGCCCGCCACTGGTGCCGACGACGAACGAGCTGCCAACGCTGGCGGCGCTCTGCGAAGAGTCGCTCGCGGCCCAGCTCTCGCTCGAAAATTTCGTTCAAACGTACAACCACGCCGACGCCATTTACGCCACGGCGCTCTTGGGCGTCTGCAATGACTTTGCGCGTCGCAACTGGGACGCGGTGCTCGACATGGCCAAGGACCTCGAGGAGTTTCCGATTCACCTCGAAGAGGCAGCACAGAGTACGAGTGCGACCGATGCCTTGACGCAAACACGCAAGCCAACACGCGAACCAACACGCAAGCCACGCGCGACGATGGCGCCGCATGAAGTCGAGAAGCGACTCCGCGCCCTCGCCAAGCGGCTGCGACAGATTGACGACCTCGAGACACTCGACAGGTGGACGGACGTCCAAGCCGAAAAGATGGCTCGCAAGCCGTTCATTCTCGAGGAGATCGACGTGCTCGAACGGCACTTGGAGAAGGTCCGGGCAGCGCCACCGCCACCTTCGTCTCCTGTCGTGTCACCTGAGGTCATCGTCGCTGATGGCCCAAAGATCCATGACGTCGTCGATACAAGGCCGTTGACAGCAGCACCGCCGCCCGCTGTTGTCGTCGACGCAAAGCTCAAGGGCAAGCGGGAGTCGCCGAGAGAAAAGACGTCCAAGGAACATCGGCCGGCAGAGAAGGAGTCTCGCAAGGCAGCGAAGGAGTCTCTTAAGGTGGAAACCAAGACCAAGAAGACCAAAACCAAGTTCGTGCCGCTCGATACGTTCTTGCTGTCGACGCCTGTGCCGCCCCCGATGGCTAAGGCCGTCGTGACTCCCGTGTGGAACAGCCCGCCGCCGCCCCGACCCATCAAGGCGCCCGCCGCTATAGGCAGCTCCAAGAGCGGTCCAACATTTTCTCTCGAAGCCTTTGTCAAGACCAAAGGGCCCAAGAAACCTGCGCCAAAGCAGTCGTCGCCCATGTGGAGTGCGGTGCCAGCGCCTGCCGCCGTGCCGTCGCTGACAGCCATCCAGGTACTCTAACAAACGTCCAAGCGTTCCTATCCATGGACCATAGAGCTCACAAGTCGTCGAAGTGACGCAATCGTGGAACCTCCGGGAAAACTCGTGGGGTCTCTGTCAAGAAGAAAACGTCAAGCTCGAGGACGTCCAGACGCTCGCGCTCATCGAGAAGCTGCTCGCCGAAGACGCCGCGGCCTTGGCCGCCATGGAGCAACAACAACAACAAGAACGACAAAAGACGACAACCAACCACCGATCCAAGACCAAGTCGAATGCATTCCGAAAGAGTAGAAAGGCAACGCAAGCGGCCTAGTTGTCATCACTGCAAGTTTGCGCCGCGAGGACTTCCATGGACGTCCGGACGACTTTGATGAACGCGTCGCGCTGCTGCACTTCGTACGAGTTTTGCTTTTGTTTCTCGTCGACCTTGTAATAGAGTGTGACCATGAGCGCATTCTTCTTCATGCACGTCATGCGCGCAATGTGGCTCAAATGGTGACAGCTGCGGACGCTCGTGACGTCTTCTTGGACCTTGTCCGGACGGAGCACGAGAATGTGGTCCTCGGCCAGCACCACGTGCCGCGGCACCATCGACGTCGCGCCGCCTTTGATCTTCTTCTTATAGCACGAAAAAAGCGGCGACGACACCAGCGGCAGCAGTTGGTGCATGCGCAGCTGCATGCCCTTCTTCAAATCGCCCACGCGGCCCTTCTCGATGACGTGTTCAACGACCGCCACGCTCACGGACGCATCGCCTTCGTCGTCACCGCCGTCCGCAGCGCCCAAAAAGTCGTCGGCCTCTTCGTCGTCGTCGTCGTCAATCGAAAAGACCGCTTCGGTGGCGGCCGCGGACGGCGCGCTGGGCTTCTTGCTGCTGGGCGACATCGTCATCACGGGCGGCGACTGCGGCGCGTTGCTCATGGTCGCCGCGGCTTCGAGGGGCCCGATCGTCGCTGCAATCGACGTCGCTGCTTTCTTGACGTACGTGACCGGGTTGAGGGCCGAGTCGCGCTTCACCGCCGCGTCGACGACCGACCGCATCGAGTTCATGCTCGGCATGTTGAGTTCGTTCAAGTGCAGGTGCGCCTTGGCGTCCGAGAGCTTGCCGCCGAGGTCCATCGACTCCTTCTTCTTCATCATCCAGTTCTTACTGTCCTTGAACGCCCCCGACATGAGCGACGAGCCCGGCACGGCGTTGAGTGTCTTGCCACTCACGGCCGTCAGCGTCTTGCCACTGTCTTTGAGCGCGTTCGTCATCGACGAAAAGTACGATGATGACGACGGCGACGTCACGCTGTCCGACGGCGTCGCCGACTTGGTGCGTGCGCGACCGTCGGGACCGAACCGACCTAGGCACACGCCGCCTTCGCTGCGCTGAATGTACTCGTTCTCTTCGTCCGAGAGCAAGGACGCGGACGACACGCTCCGCCCCTTCGACTGCAGCGTCTGCCACTGCGTGCACAGCGTGCATGACGCCGCATCGTGGTCGCACAGGTCCGAGAGTGAGAAGAGGCGCGACTTGGCCAAATACCGGTGCGCCGACGCATACCCGCCCTATCGCAAAATACAAATAGAAAGAAACCAAAATGGAAAGGAGCGTACGTCAATGATGCTGACGTACGGGAACCCACGCTTGGTGAGGAACATGACGGCGTCGTTGACCTGGGCCGCGTCCTTGGCCACCATATCGGCTACGTCGCTCTTGGAGAGGTTGAGGTCCTTGACCATGCTGCTCGCGTAGCGCGAGTGGCCGTGGCCCATGATGCAGATGTGCACCGAGCTCTTCATCGGCTGGAGCGTCGCCATGACCGCATCAAACGCCGACGGATTCATGAGCGACTCGGAGTTGAAGTGAAACGATGTCGGTATTTGGCCGTGCGCGAGGTACTCTTGCGGTCGGCAGTCGACGATAAAGTACCGAATCTAGCATTGCGAATCCATCCACAATATGATACGCTATCCATCGTGCTGTACCTTTTCCGTGCACGCGGATTTGAAGCCGCGAAAGACCGACGGGATCACTTCGCAGACCGAAATCGTCATGCAAAAGTACGTCGACGGCGTCTCGAGGTGGAAACTGTCGCTGCGCGAACTCTCGTCGTTCTTGCCCGTGATACTCGACTTGAGCTGCGACGCTTGCGCCATGATCTTGGTGTTGATCGACGACAGCTGCGTCAATGAAAACTTGCTGCTGCTGCTGCTGTTGGTCGGCGTCAGCTTGCTCGGGACCTCGAGCTGCTCCTTGTGCGCGGCGGCTTGGGGCTCGTCACCGACGAGCTCGAGCTCGTGCGCGTGAACGACGCACTCTTCGTCTCGTCCGCCGTTGTACTCACGTCCATGCCCGCGTCGCACAGTTTGGTGCAGAACGAGAACGGCGTCTTCTCGATGAGCTCGTGCACGTTCTGGAGCAGCGTCGTGTGGCGACTCAGCGTCTCCACAAAGAGCTGCACCATGCAGCTGCGCAAGTTGGGCCCGTTGGTCAAACTCAAGAGGCGCTTCTTCGAGCCGAGGATCGCACTCAACAGCACAAACACCATGACGATCGACGGGTACGTCGAGCTCGCGTTCACGACGACGCAGTCCCAGACGCGCGACGCGACCTCCAAGTCGATCGCGGTCGTGTGGTCATGGCCCTCCAGCAGCGACGCGAGCCATTGGTCGGGCACCAAGCCCGGCTCGGACCACGACGGATACGTGTGGTCGAGGTGCAATGCAATCGTGGGGTCGTGGTACAAGAGCAGCAGCTTGAGCAGCGGACGCCGCGCCAGCGCTACGTGCGAGAGCGGCACATGCGCCAGCAAGTGCGGAAAGAGGCGCAGCGTGACCATGTCCATGATGCCAAAGACGTCGTGGCGCAGCGGATCGGCGCCGCCGAGGAAAAGCAGCGGCGCAAACGCAGTCGCGAGGCCGGGCGTGTACGCGATCGCGTGCTTCTCGCACGCGTTCAAGATCAGCGCCTCGACGTGGTCGGTGAGCGAGAGCCGCGCCGTGTCGGGGGACACGCCGTCCGTCTCCAGCCCCTTGCAGAACGCCGGGTCCGCAAAGAGGAGCGAGCAAACCGCCTGGGCGTCGCGGCGAATGAGTTCGGACGCGCCGAGCGCCATCGTCTTGGTCGCGACCGGCGGCGCCTACGAGGATTGGCGTGAGCAAGGGTAGAGCAAAAGACACGTGGCGACCTCGAGGAGGGTGCTCCATGCCTGCAAGCGCTCCTCGACCGGGATCTTGTTGAGCGATCGGTAGTGCGCGCGGAGTTCGTCTACACGGCGGATGATTCACGTACGTCAAGGCGCCGACCATGTACCGTTTGCAGGGACCTTGGAGCCATCTCGGCTCGCGTAGGCCGAGACGGACCCGGGGCCTACAAGGCAGAGAAAGACAATAATGCTCTGCGTCAAGGCAACGGTGCACATACCCACGGGACTTGTAAAGACCTCGAACGACGAGGTGTGGCGCGATCCAGTGTTGGTTTCAATCGGTGGAGGTGCCGCCTTGTTGGACGGTGGTGGCGTTGGCGGCTTGCCTTCGGGGACAGCGGGCGACGGCGGGATACCAGAGAACGATGACGTCGGCGTAGCCTGCTTCGACTCGGCTGTGGGCTGCGAGTGCGCCGGTGTCGGGGGCTTGGAGTTTGTCGTCGTCGTCGGCGCAGGGTTCAAGAACGGGTTGCCCGAGCTTGTGCTGGACGCATCGGGTGCAACCGAGGTCGGCGGCGTCGGCTGCTTCACGGTCACGACGGGGGCCGGCGGCGGCGACGAAAAGTCCGCGTCCGTTTTGGCAACGATTGTTGCCTTCGAGACAGGGACGACGGGCGCCGGCGCTTCCGGCTCGTCGTCCAAGGAGAAGGGGCAATCGGTATCGGCCGCTGGCTTGGGTGGGACGGCCAGCGGACTATCAAACGAGAACGAGTCAGAAGACGGGCCATCGAACTTGGGCACGCCCGACTCGGGCGACGTCGGCTTGGCGTCGAGCCACGAGAGAAAGTCAGACGGGTCGGACGTGATCGCGGCCGTCGTCGGCGAGAGCGCGTCCGCCGCCGTCGCCTTGACGTCGCCGAGGCCGAGCTCATCGAGGCCGAGCCCATCGAGGGAGTAGGTCGAGGTCGGGGCCGCGCTCGTCGACGAGCTGCCGAGGAGGTCGCTGCAGTCGCCAAAGATGTCGTCGAGGCTCGACATGCTTCGTCGTCCGCTCCTTGCTTGTGGAGTCGCCAGCTCGAAACTGTCGTTATCCGGACAAATCCGAGAAAAGCGCACCTGATTTCAGATCCAGGTGCGGATTCTGACCAGTGTCAATGACACGACCAGCTACTCGAATGACGTGGCGGCAAGCAGGCCCACTACTGCCTCTGCATATGTAGCAATACGTATAGCAACGCTCTGCCCACGCGGCTTTAGCTCCAACTCTCAGTCCAATGAGCACCAGTATACCCTTGTCAAGGTCTCAGACGGTAGTCCCGTTGTGTCATTTTCCAATGTCGACTTGGTTTGCTGCCCATCTGTTCCTTGTTTTCTTCTTCTTCGATCTGTGCGCTCCTTCCATATAGGGTGATCCGAACAAGTATCAAGTTCGTATCAAGCGGTGATGCAAAGTGGCACACTAGACGCGCTCGATCGTCACGCACCAATTCGAGCGCATCATCTCGACGTTGGTGACGACGAGGCCGGGCACTTGGCGCACGAGGAGCTCGAGCTCCAAGTCGCGGTACACGTGGCAGTAGCGCTTATAGACAGCCCACTTTTTCGCGTCGTCGAGCTGCACATGGGCGGGCAGCGGCTCGCGCGGGTCAATGTACTTTTGCTGCAGCTTCCACTCGACCATGACGTCCTGGCTCGCGAACTTGCGCTTCGAGAGCGCGTCTTGTTCAAACGCCCATGCCACCACGTAGATCTCGCTACCCACGCGCACGAGCCGCGCGAGCTCCCTAGGCAATTTCTTGGACGCCAGCCTCGTACAAAGAAATAAAGTACCTCAAAATCTGCAGGCGGTGCTCGATCGTCGACATGTGGTGGAGCACAGCAATGCAAATGGCCGCGTCGAACACACCCGTGCGGAGAGGCACGCTGAGGCCGTCGCTGCCAAAGACTTCGTGGGTCCTAGTGCGTTTTCAATTGTTTCAACCTATCAAGTGAGAACGCACCGCTCGGAACAGACGCTCAGCAAGGGCATGCTGCGGTCGGACCCAATCATCATCACCTTTGGGTTCACGCCCAAGTACTTGCCATTGCCGCAGCCTACTTGGCCATCACGCCGCCGCTGGGGTCTGGGAAGCGCGTACCAATGTCGGCAACCAGCGCGCCGTCGGGCAGTCGGTTCAAAAAGTCCGTGACAAGCGGCCACGGGTGGTGCCGCGTGTGGCTAAAGTGCGACGCGATGCTGTCGTACACACCGTGCACGTGCTCCTTCTCCAGATCGGTCGGTCGCTGCACGCTTGTCTGCTGCACGCGACTCACATCGCGCTCGTCCAGAATCTATCAACTTTTTAGTAAATGCAGAAGAATGGACCTTGAGCTACCTTGCGCAAGGTCAGCGACACGCGCCGCGATCGGGTGGCGACGGCACCGCCAATGAGATCGTGCTTGCGGTATGCGATTCCGTGCTTCCAGAGGTAGCGCGCCTCGCCAACCATTAGGCAGAGCGACCTGCGCTTCAGCACGACGTGCTTGAGCACCGAGGGATCCGAGACGAGGCGAAAATCCATGACAATATCGCTGCCAAGCGAGAGCGACGCAATGTACTCGGTAAAGACGTCGGCAGTGTCGACGTGCGGCGCAATGCCTTGGCCCGGGAGGTACTCGTTGATCGTGATTTGGTCGGGCAGCTGCAAATCCGGACGGAGGCAATGCATATTGGCTGCGGTGTCAGCGCAGAAAGGCGGCAGTGGCCCAAGGGGTTGGGACGCGTCCACGTCACGCGTGTCGTAGCGAAAGGCGTAGCCATAGTGCTGTACGCGCCGCTGGATGCTGTCTTCCCATGCCATCCCATCGATGGTAGACAGCAGCGAAGCTTCTTCGTCGGCCGAGATGAAGTCGTCGATGATTGAGAGCCCAGGCACCACGACGTGCGCGGTTGTGCTTGGGCACGAAAGCAACGATCCAGATCCAGCGGGCGGTGCTTCGGCGGCAAACTGGACAAAGAGCTTCCGGCCGCCAAGCGCGGCTGGCGACGTGCCTTGCAGTGCGGAGCGCGCCGCGACCGCTGCCTCGACCGTCGCAAACGTCACCAAGAGGTAGCCCTACATCGCACGCATGGTCTGCCCGACCCGGCAGCATGTGGTTGCGTACCTTGGCGTCCTCCGAGACGAGGTCGCAGAGCGTCCCATAGGCGCCAAAGCACGAGAGGATTGCACCTTCGCCAACGCCGTGGTCGCCGCCGACCGTGCAGTTGGCCACGTAGAGATACCTTGTCGGCGCCTCGGGGTTCTACGCGCAAGCGGATGAGTGCACCGTGACCGGCCATGCACACGACCTTGGGCTTGCGCGGCTTGGTATTGCTCATCAGCTCTGCCTTTGCACCAATCCGATGTGCAACCAGCATTTTGAGCCAATGGCATGTGGCAGAAAGGGTGGTTTTCAGCCAATGGCCTTCAGGCAATCCGCGGTGGGGCGATTGGAGGGATAACCTGCAGCATGAGCGTCAAGGAAGCTTTGAGCAAGATCCTCGTCGTCGTCGGGACGACGGGCGCGGGCAAGACGAAGCTGTCCATTGACCTCGCCAAGGCCCTCAATGGCGAGATCGTCAACTCGGATGCGATGCAGGTGCGCCGCCATCCGCTTGCGAATGGCTCATGGTTTGGCGCTGTAGATGTACCGCGGCTTGGACGTAGCGACGGCCAAGGTGACACAGGAGGAGATGGACGGTGTGCCGCACCACCTCTTGAGCTGCATCGCCCCCGTCGAAGAGTGCACGGTCATCCAGTACAAGGCCCTCGCCATGCGCACGGTACCCCGGAGACCTGGACCTTCATCCATAATCTTCAACGACACGCCTTAGATCCAAGACATCATTGCACGCGGCAAGGTGCCCGTCGTCGTAGGCGGTACCATGTACTACACGCAGTCACTGCTTTGGAACGGCCAGCTCCTCGAAGACGTACCTGGCTCCAACGGCGACGTACCATACCGGCCTTCAACACCACTCTCTCATACACTCGCTGCCTTAGGCCAGCCCCGTGCCGCTGCCATCGTCGCCCGAAGAGGTCTACCGCAAGCTCCAAGAAGTCGACCCGGTCATGGCCAACGGTCTGCACTCGAAAGACGTCCGTCGGGTACGCCCGTGTCTCTCGTTGCCCGCTCTCGTCTCATACCGATGCATAGGTGCAGCGCAGCCTCGAAGTCTACTACCACACCGGCAAGCGGCACAGCGACTGGATTGCCGAGCAGAAGGCAGAAGAAAAGCTCTTTGACGCGTGTGCCTTCTGGGTCGACTGCGACCGCCCGATCCTCAACGCCCGCCTTGACAAGCGGTACCGCCGCCCTCTTTGTCTCGGTAGCATTCATGAAAGAGTAGCGTCGACAAGATGGTGGCGGACGGACTCGTGCCCGAGATCGAAGGCTTGATGGCCGAGATCCGCGACCACGTGGCCGCGTCACCGATCCCGATGGGGCTTAAAGGCATCACTCAAGCGATTGGCTTTAAGGAATTTGAAGCGTACTTGGAGGCAAAAGCCCAAGGCGTCGACGGCGACGCGCTCCACTCGGTCCTCGCCACGTGCATTGAGGAACTCAAAGTCGGCACGCGCCAGTACGCCAAGCGCCAAGTGACGTGGATCAAGAACCGGTTCGTGCCCCGGAACGTGCCGGTGTATCGCTTCGACACCTCCGTGGTCGACGCCTGGCCATCACTCGTGGCGGCGCCTGCGATCGAGATTGCCACGTCGTTCCTTCGTGGGTCGCCAATTACGAGGCAGGCGACGTGTCAAGAGCGTACGAGCGAGGAGAAGCGTCCGAAAACCAAGTTTCTCTGCGACGAGTGCGGCGGGCGCGAGTTTGTTGGCGAGGTGCAGTGGAGCGAACACTTGCGCTCCAAAGGCCACCGCTTCCACCTCAAGCGTATCCGACTCCTCGCTTCCGGCCAGCTCTTTGAACGCTCGTCGAAGAAGCCCAAGTCGGTCGTCGACGAGAAACAAGCTGCAGACAGCAGCGAGCGTGAATAGATTACTCTTGCGCGTGGTCTACGCTAAGGACAGGGCATCGCACGCACGTCCTGCGTAGGGCGATTAGGGTCGTGGTGTGTATCCCGAGTTGTCCCTGTTGGAGTCCGAAATAGTTGGTCCAGTCCTTTTAGACGGGCGATTGCAACACACAGAAGACACTTGGTTTGCGTACAGTAGGGTTGATGTTAGTGACATGGTTTCGAGTAGCAACTTAGTTACGGGCGATCTCGCGACCCTTTTGCGGCACGGGCGTCCGGCTGTGCAGCTGCGCGTAGTTGTCCGAAAGCACGTAGTCGCCGGCTTGCCACTCGTGCGCGTACTTGAACTCGTCGCTGTAGAGGAGCGGCACGAGCGTCTCAAAGACCCACGCTTGCTCGATCGCGTGGTCGGCCTCGGTCGCATCGGGCTTCTTGCTGCGGATCGCGATGTGCGTCGGCTGCAGGTTGGTCTTGTCGGCGTCCCACGGCTCGTGGAAGCGAAGGATCTCCTGGCCGTCGACCGGGTGCTGGCACACGAGGTCCATGTGGTGCGTCAGCGTCGCCGAGCCGTACATGACGTTGGCGGCCGTCGTCGCCGTCATCTTGAGCGTCCGAAGACGCGCGACGTCCGTAGACGGCAAGGCGGCGAGGAGCCGGCGCGTGTCGACAAACATGGTGCGACCGTACGGTGAATCACGGACCGGGTACGGCGCGAAGCACTGGAAGAACTGGTACAAGGGCACGTCGCCGAGGATGTCGCTGTCTGGAATGCGCTTGAACATGCCGTCGTAGTGGAACGCCATGGGTTCGTGGGACCGCGACGCGAGGCCGGCGGCACCGTCTTGCTTGAGCTCGAGCGTGCTGCCCGTGGGCCACATGAGGATCTCGCCAATGTGCGACGCGAGCATGTCTTGGTTCTCGTCGGTGCGGAAGCCGCGGAGGAGCACGACGCTGTACTTGGTGGCGAGGGCGCGGAGCGCGACCTTGGGCAGCGCTGTGATCGAGATGGGCGACGACGCGATCAGCGTCACACCTTGACGCCACGGCTGCAGCGCGATCGCCAGCTGCGCCCACTCGGGCGCGAGATCGGGCACTTGGCGGTAGAACCACGGGCGGCCAAACTTGGTGACGACTTCGTACTTGGTCTTATCGACGTCTTCGTGCTTGCGCGCGACCTCGGTGCCGTCCATGTGCTGCACGATAACGCAGTGCCACGGCGTCGTCGGCGCTGTCTCGGATGCGTCGAGCTGCGGAATCAGCTGCACTCCAAACTTGGGGCCCGCGTTGTCGAACGCGTGGATCGAGAGCCGGATTGCGTCGCCAAAGACGTCGTTGACGAGGCTCGAGAAGGCAATGTTGCGCCGAATCATCTCGCGCGCGCCCGAAGTGATCGCATCGGCTTTCGCCGCCTCGTCCAGATGGGCGTAGGTGTCGAGGAGGTCGCGCGTAATGAACGAGTGAAATGTGTTGTACGTGTTGCGCAAGCCCGCGTTTTTGGCGAGGACGTCGTCCAAGTCGAGCGCGTCCACGCCATACCGCGCCTTGACCTCGGCGATTTGGTTGACCGACGTCGTTGTGTGGTTGTCGAGGCTGTCGAACTCCAAGTGCGTGTGCGTCGTCGACGCGAGGAGCTGCACGAGCGCGGCCTTGTACGACAGCACGTCGTCGTCCGTGACGCCGAGCACTTGGCTGAAGACGCGGCCGTCGCTGAAGATCTTGGCGCGCGCGCCGCGGGGGTAGACCTTCTCGATCGCAACGCACGCGGCCTCCAAGCGCGCAAGGCCGATCTCTTCGCCGCGGTCCGGGAGCTTTCCGAGCACTTCGGTGTCCGTGTTGGGCGACTTGCAAGGGAAGCCGGGAAGAACGAGCGAGATCGGCTCGTCCTTCTCGATCGCGCGCGCAAGGAGCTTCGTGAGGAACGCGCGGCCGTCGGTCTCAAACTTGTCGTGGGCCTTGATGTTGAGGAGCGGGCGCAGCGCGTCAATGATGCGGTCCATGGTCGTTTGCACCATACTTGTACTTGTGATGAGGATAAAGTTGTTGTTGTTGTTGGGAAAGGTGGTCAGCGGTCGGGGTAGTCGGGACTAGACGCGCTCGCTGGTGGTAAAAGAGGAAATTCGAAAATGACAATCGAGCGAAAATGGATCTTTTGGCGCGGTGTCGGTTTTTCGAACCTGCGATCACGGAAATGTCAGAGATGCGCGTGTCGCACACAACCGAAGTCCGATTGCGCCGCGGAATAATACGCGCTGCGGCCACCACAGGGACCATCTGGTTTCAGGGCTGGTTACGCACTGTACTGTACTCGCATCATTCCCTCTTCTCATCATGCAGGAATGGGGCCTTGCGGAGAATAGAAGCACCGAATTTAGGCGACACGTGGTGTAGGGAGCTTCGAGCGATTGTGATCACACTAGAAGTGGTGGGAATCATCGGAGCAACGCTAATCTATACGCATACAGCACTTGTTGAAACCTACCCCTTGCTCGGATCGCGGTACACAGTACTACATACCGTACGACAAGGGCTACCCCCACGCGAATCAGCATCGTGCTTCGAGGCGCAATCTCGGCTGTCGATTTGTCTTTCGATATCAAAACGTGCACATCGTACTGCGTAGAAAGGCTGCTCCAAACCACCGTCAGCTACGGCGGGTTGTTCGGCAACCTGCTCCGCTTTGTAAACCACTGCATACTCCGTTTTCATGAACCGCTTCATTGGCGTCGTGGTTTCCGTTGACGGCATCGGATGCGCGCCGAAGTTCACACCCGAGCCGTGTCCGGCAAGGCAAAGTGTCTGCGCTCGAGGCGCCAATGCCACGCACTTGGCATCGCACATCTCGCATGCACGCAGCTACATATATTTGCGTACCGCAGAGCTGCGACTACAAAAATGTGTATGGGCTGTCGCATGAACCGAAGCAGAAGTCAGCGGAAGTAAATGCTCTCAAAGACACCTGTTGCTGCGTGACAGTTTTGAGCGTTTTGATTGGGTCTACGCACCCCGCGCGCGTACCACTCGACCATACGTTTTACTCTTGTGCCAACTCTGACTTGTTTCAATATTGTCGAGTGTTCACAACAGCACCTACCGGTATCGAGGATGGCGATATCTTGGCGGCCGCGCCGAGTCCTTAAGACTACAAACGCGACCCCGTCCTGATACGGAGGCGTCTCAGCTGCTTTCAACGACGTCCAAGAGAACACGGCACATCCCACTTTCTTGTAGTAGAGTGGATTGCTCACGTTCGGTATGCAACGTGTATTGGCGAACGGCCGATCGCAAAGCAGGATCACACAGGCAGTGTTCATAGGATCAACTTTGATAGGGTGGGACGTGTGGGAGCGAGGCCATGTATATTCCGCAAACAGCCAGTGCACAAAGAAGCTTGGCGTCGATCCGGTGAAGTCCTCTTGTTGCTGTCACCCGTTCGCCACCCAAGAGGCCAATCGTATCGGTCAGATTTGCTGGATCGTTTAATACCGCCTATATTTATATCTTTGTATGCAAATGCAATCAAAACTTTGGCGTTGGCCATGTAATTGGCGTGCGATTTGAGACTCAGAGCGAATCACTCACTTTTCAATTTGCCTCACACAGTCGCCATGGTTTGCTACAGCACCGATATCGAACGCATGCCTGAGTGCACGGCGTCATTCGCGACGCTTTGTGCGAACGACTCGCAGCCGGCCCCCACGACCAAGTCGCAGTTCTCGTTCCTCGCACTCTTGCTTGACTATTGGAGCCGCTTCCTCCCGAGCCAGTACCCGCACCGCGCTGTGCTTGAGAACGCGCCGGTCACCAAGTCTGCGTCGCCCGACGATATTGTTGCCGCCGTCCTCGCCGCCCTTATCCCGATGCTGCACAAGATCCCGGGTGATCGGTTTGATGCCGAAGGTCGCTTCAAGGTCGAAGCCGCTGTCATGCGCGCCGTGGAGCTGAAGAAGCCCCTTACGTTTGTGATCCCGGCCTTTCCGTTCAAGTCGCCCAACACGACCGAGAAGACGCTCGGTGTGCTTCCGGACCGCGGCGAAGAGCTCGCGATGGAGCGCCTTGAAGCCCTCTGCCGTGAGATCGAGACTGTGTACCCGCCTGGTGCTCAGATGGTCATTTTCAGCGACGGGCGCATCTTCAACGACATCATTGGTGTCTCGACGGATGCCATGGACGCGTACATCGCCGAGCTCGAGGCCATGGCGGTCGCGGCCAAGCACAGCCACATCAAGTTTGACCGGCTCGAACACTACACCACATCCGAAGATCCCAACCAGGAGCTTCTCGAGCGCTACAACTGCGACAAGATCGACATGAAGAAGCTTCTGAAAGACGACGCGGGTGTCCTTGCCACCTACCGCGGCTTCCGCCGCTTCCTCACCAAGGACCTCGCGCACAAGTGGGTCGGCATGTCCAACTCGGCCATCGACAAGGCTGCGGGCGCCGCCGCCAAGCTCATGATCCAGCGCAACATGGCCTTCTCGACGCTCGTCGACGACTGCTACCCGGACGCGGTCCGCCTCTCGATCCACGCCTACGACAACGCAGGCCCCAAGTACGGCGTCGCGCTCATCCCGCAGCTCGAGAGCTCCAACGGGTCGATCCCGACCACGCCGTGGCACTGCGTCATGGTCACCGATATGCACGGCCGCGAGTTTTCCGCCAAGCACGAAGATGTCGACTTGGAGCTGTACGAGCTGCAGTACAAGTTTGGCCGGGCGTGGTGCTATACGGCCAAGCCGTAGATAGACCTACCTTATTCGCTTTTAATCTATTTCTTATTGTTGTGCATGACAACCAACCAACTACGTAGTATGCACCAAGCCACCGCTCTTAGAAACCTTGAGATCAAGTTACAACACTGCTCTGGTTACTCAAAAGAAGTTCAAATAGACTGGTACTGCTTATAGGCTAGTAGCAATAGTGTCGCTTATAGGTTCTAGTAGCAGTAGGGTAGTTCGCACTATGATAGTGTTCTGTAGCATCCTTGAAGGGTGTCGAGATGCATGGCTGGAGAGGCATGGTTGCAGGAGCTGTTGCCACCCGTTTTCTTTGGACCCCCACCCCCACGACGCATGACGGACCTTTTCGAAAGGCACTCGTGGGATGCGTTCGGCAGCCCGACAGCGCTTTCCGCATGTTCTAAGCCTTCCAATCAGATCCTGCAATGTCAATGCATTGCTCTATCTACAAGCTCGCTGCTATGGATCGCGTCGTCGCTTCCGTTGACTGTCGTGCTTTAGGAATGGGTCCACCCCCTCGAGGGTCCTACCAAACGTCGTGTTCAAAAATAGACGTGTCCTTTAAAGTACGCATATGATAAATCGGGTTAAAATAATACCCGACAGCGTCACGTATTATAAATAAATACAGGTGTGGAAAGCGCACTTGACCGGGTACACGCGTTGCTCGCCATTCGTATTGGTCGTCTCTTGACCAACCAGTGGCAGCCAATCTTAGAGGCAACCTCATCTTGCATCAGCATGAGCGACCACGAGGAGGACGTCGGCGCGCTCGCGGCCGCGCCCGTGGCCCGCACGGATAGCAGCGTCTACTTCTCGGATGAGACCTTCGAGTCGCTGCCGCTCTCGGAGCCGACGCAGCGCGTGCTCAAGGAGATGAACTTTGTCAAGCTCACCAAGATCCAGTCCAAGTCGATCCGCCCGCTTCTCGCTGGCAGCGACTTGCTCGGCGCCGCCAAGACGGGCTCGGGCAAGACGCTCTCGTTCTTGATCCCGTCGGTCGAGCTTCTGTACAAGGTCAAGTTTACCGCGCGCAAGGGTACCGGCTGCATCGTCATCTCGCCGACGCGCGAGCTCGCGCTCCAGATCTACGGCGTCGTCAAGGAGATCACCAAGTACCACACGCAGACGCATGGCATCGTCATGGGCGGTGCCAACCGCCGCGCCGAGGCCGAGCGCCTCGTGAAGGGCGTCAACATCCTCATCGCGACGCCCGGTCGCCTCCTCGATCACCTCCAGAACACCAAGGGCTTCATCTTCCACAACCTCCAAATCTTCGTCATTGACGAAGCCGACCGCATCCTCTCGATCGGTTTCGAAGAGGAGATGCGCCAGATCATCAAGTGCATCCCCAAGACGCGCCAGACGATGCTCTTCTCGGCCACGCAGACGAAGAAGGTCGAGGACCTCATCAAGGTGTCGATCCAGGGCACGCCCGTGTACGTCGGCGTCGACGACGTCGAGAGCGCGGAGGCGACCGTGCAGACGCTCGAGCAAGGCTACGTGGTCACGCCGAGCGACAAGCGGTTCCTGCTCCTCTTTACGTTCCTCAAGAAGAACCTCAACAAGAAGGTCATGGTCTTCTTCTCGAGCTGCAACGCGGTCAAGTTTTACGGCGAACTGCTCAACTACATTGACGTGCCGGTGCTCGACATCCACGGCAAGCAAAGCAGAACAAGCGCACGACGACCTTCTTCCAGTTTTGCTCGGCCAAGAGCGGCATCCTCCTCTGCACGGACGTGGCGGCGCGTGGTCTCGACATCCCGGCGGTCGATTGGATCATCCAGTACGACCCGCCGGATGATCCGAAGGAGTACATCCACCGTGTCGGCCGTACGGCGCGCGGTGCGACGGGTGCTGGCAAGGCGCTGCTCATGCTGCTCCCGGAAGAGCTCGGTTTCCTCAAGTACCTCAAGGCGGCCAAGGTCGCGCTCTCCGAGTATGACTTTCCGACCAAGAAGGTGGCCAACGTCGAGAACCAGCTCATGAAGCTCGTCGAGAAGACGTACTACTTGCACAAGAGCGCCAAGGAGGCATACCGCAGCTACCTCCTCGCGTACGCGTCGCATGGCCTCAAGAACATCTTTGACGTCGGCACGCTCGACTTGCCGGCGGTCGCCAAGTCGTTTGGCCTCACAGTCCCGCCCAAGGTGACGCTGCCGGTCAAGACCAACGGCAAGGAAGGCAAGCGCAAGCGCGAAGACAAGTACAGCAAGAGCGGCCACGCGTTCAGCGCCGAAAACCCGTACGGGAAGCGCGCCAAGGACGACAAGCGCCAGTTTGCCCATTAGAAGACTAAATAATAATTGTATAATTTGTGACCGCACATGACGATAGCTTTGGCGTAGCTGTGGTAATGGGCATGATGGGGCGTACTGATGCTCCCGAGGCCATTGAGCCGCTTGGAACGAGAGACCACATGTCGCTGGACGACATCAAATGAGCCAAGGGTTGATGCGCTGATTGTAGACCTACCACCTACCTTGACAGAGTGTTCGGACATGCCGTTGCATGGAGGAAGCGCGTCGCATCAAAACCATGCTCGGGTTCGAGATTTGGCGCCATTATAATATGCGCGTAGCAAACACATCTTGTGTGTGGCAGAAGTTGATTTGGTGTCCTTTTCTTGAAAGGGGACAGGACAATAATGGACTGTCGACTCCATCGCGTTGTGACGACAAGGCGGCGGCGACGACTCGGCAGTGGAGGAAGCGGTTTTTTCCAGCGTTGATGTTGAAGTGCTAGTATGACCCTAAACCATGATTTGGATATGTCAAACCGACAAGATGGCCGACCATGAAAAGAGTACCGGAGGCTGTTGGGGACCGTAGCTGTGTCGAGGGTGGGCGAAATGTTCCCCTGTTGGTCAAACGTGCAAACGTTTTGATGCACTAACCGCTCGAGCGTCCGAATGAACTTCCAGTCGTGAGCTGACTATGAGGGGCGGCGGTGGATGAAAGCCATCATGTCCATCGACACATGAGAACGATATTCAAATATGAGAACGATATTCAAATAATACTTAGTTAATAGGTGCACGCAACATGACAGACGAGACGACGTACAAGCTATCCTTCCAAGCTGCGCGCGAGGCCGACGTAGAGCGCGAGCGTCCCGAGGTTCCCGACCGCATGCATGCCAATGTGCCAGAGGTACGAGATGCTCTTGTTCGGGCACGTGATCGATTTGAAGTAGCAAAAGACCGACTTGGCCATGAGCGCGTAGTAGAGGTACTGGTAAAACTGCACCTCGCACGAGAGCGAGAGGTACATGTGGTACAAGAGGCCGCCCGCGACGGCCAGCATGTCCATGTTGCGTCGCCAGCCCATCGTCGGGTGGCGCCAGTAGTTGATGGACGTCAGCAGCACGAGCGTCGCGACAAGCGAGCAGCTCCAGAGGTCCTTCTTGGCGGCCGAGAAGGCCGAGAGCGCCGTCAAGCACGACGACTTGAGCAGTCGGGACGAGTACTGCGGCTGCGTCACGAGGTACTCGTACTCGCTGCTGCTGTAGTTGTGGCTTCCCATCGGTCGTCTGAAATCGCAAAATGAGCACCGAGGGTGTCTCTGCTTTGGCGTCGCGCGCGCCTTTTTGACAAGGTAAATTGAATTACCTCACCGCTCGTATACGGAGCGCGTCATATTTTATAACACGGCGTTGCACATGGTCGCTTTCTCGGCCGTTCCAAGCAATCAAAGGCGGCGCGCACCCACCGAACGGACCTGTCGCCCTACGTCAACAGTGCACTTTCCCACGACTCGCAGCAAACGAGTGATATCGAGCTGTCATTGACTGCTTGTCCCCACGTTGAATCGACCGAGAATCAAGGCATTGTATGCAGAGGAAGAAGGACCACAATGGACTACACCGACCGAGGTCATCATTTCGCCGACGTGCACCGTGTTGTCACAGCGTTGGGTGGAGGCATCGATACGTGCACGTGGGGAATCGCAATCAACGGCACAGGGGCGTGGCCGTGGTAGAACCAAGTGCGTCGTACGCCATCGATGGCAGCGAATCGAGCAAGACGGAGCTCTCGAGCAGCGCGACCTGCACCTGTGAGCGCCGGTGATGAGTTCTCCAAGGGCAAAATGGATTGGTCCATGGCAATGGGTCCATGGAACGACGACGACGGTGCGCTCCGCATGAGCAAAGCAAGCTTGCGACACCGTAGTTGCAACGAGTTAAATACATGTACACCACGGTGAGCTGTTGATGATGCATGGATCAACCCGTACTCGGAGCTGTACGCAAGAGGCCCTCCAACGCATCGTTGGCTGGTTGCGACCAGGAGACGCTCTTGGTGCGTCATCCGGGTGGGCAGACACTTGTGAGAAATCAAGTTCATATCGCTGCTGGCGCCAAGTAATTGGCCAGGACGGGACACGAGCGAGACAAAAATGCTGCGGACGATCCGCGTCAGCGCGCGGTGCTATCCCCTTGCGTTGGTGCGCCAAAGCTCGTCGCAAGCGCTTCTCACGCTCGGCCACGTGGCAGCGCCTCTGCGCGTCCTCGTCGTCGGCGACGGCAACTTTTCCTACGCGCGGGCGCTCACATGTGCGACGAGCGCCACGATCCTCGCCACGTCGTACGACACGAGGAACGCCCTCGCGGCCATGTACCCGACCGCGCCGGCCAACATTGCTGCCATTGCCTCGCCCCACGCAGTGCGCCATGGCGTCGACGCGACGGTATTGGAGCGCTACGACGACTTGCCCGCGCCGTTCGACCGCATCGTCTTCAACTTTCCTCACTCGTACGCGGCCGACGGCGGCCGGCACAACAAGATCAGCCAGCACCGGCAGCTCTTGACGCAGTTTTTCAAAGTGCCACACGCGTGCTGGCCCCTCACGGGCAAATCTGGGTCGCTCTCTGTGCCGGCCAAGGAGGCACGCCGGCCGAGACGATCCAGCGCAAGCCTGGAGATACGTGGCAAGTCGCGCAGTGCGCAGCGAGCGCCCGGCTGCTGCTGACGGCCGTTGAACCGTTTCCTGTCCACGACCTGCAGGCGCTTGGGTACGAAAGCGCTGGCTATCGCCTCGGCGCCAAGGGCTTTCACACCGACGGTAGCCTCGTCCACGTCTTCTGCCGCGACGACCAAGACAACGTCCGCGCCGCGTTCTCGTTGCAGTGGACGCGGGACGTGAGCTTTTGGGCCGCGAAGAGCGACTTGTCGACGGCGGCGTATCACGACGCGTTGCACGAGCTGCTACGGCGCGTTTGGTTTGGGGCCATTGACGTGCGTGGCGTGCGCTGTGTCGATGAGTACACGTGCCCAGCAACGCTACGCAAGTCGTTGTGCTTTCGCGTCGCATTGGAGACGTACACGAAAGCCTATAGTGACGCGGACATGGTAGCTCTCTTGGCGACGGCGGGGCGCGCCATGAGCGAGGCCAATCTCGGCGAGTATCGCGCCCCCGTCTCTGGACCATCGCAACCGACAAGCATGACACCATCGTGTGCACTTTGAAATATATATAGTACAGTAGAATTGCTTGGAGTTTGGCTGTTAGATGACCATGTAGAGGAGGCAGTTGGCAATGTTGCCGACGAGATGCATCGTCATGTGCCACTTGGACGCAGTGTCCTTGTCGATGCTCGATCGCGCCTTGAAGTAGCACACGAAAATCTGAAGCGCCAAGGCATAGTACACGAGCTGGTGGTGCCCCGACGGTACAAATCGTGCGGTGTACAGGTGGTAGCTCATGCCACAAAACACGGCGAGCATGTCGAGGTTGCGCCGCCAGCCATGGACGGGATGGCGCCAGTAGTTGATGGACGTCAGAAACACGAGCAACGTGAGGCCGCAGCATGACCAGAGCTCGTACTGCGCCGCCGTAAACACGGACGCGACCGTCAAGAACGACGACTTGAAGAGCCGCCCCGAGTACTGCGGTGGCAAGACGAGGGTCTCCTTTGCGCTGAGGTTGCGTCGCAGCATGGATTGTGGCAGAGCTCTGAAACGCACCAGATAGTCCTTTTCAAGTAGCCAATCCGCGTCGCTTGCATATCCATGCTGCAATGTGATTGGTGCAAAGTAGCCACCGGTTGATGGCCGAGTCGCCTTTCTGCGAGATCGCATGGCTCGTAAGACACTGAATATGATTGGCCCGTGCCCGCCAATCAGAAGCACGATCGGCGGATGTCGCCCCGCCGCACTGTTGACGCAAGCGCGCACGGCATCTCTGATAGGCTATCGCATGTCTAGCGTCGTCGGCGGGGTGATGCGCGGAAATCGGCCATCATCTCGAAGGCCAGGACACGGTGCCCCGGGTCCCTAGCACCGTCCCATTCTGGACAACGTGTAGAGTCGTGGAGGGCCTGGCGATCGTCGTGCATCTTTGGCGCGGCGTACTGTAAGACCTACGGTACGCAGAGGCGGCGCTGCCAGCCAGCAGTCTCTGCACGTTCTCTTCGCCAAGTGGCAGGCCGCGTGTTTTTGATGGCTGGTCGGCGGCGCGCTGGCCCGAACCGAGGACTGGCGGCGGACAAAACCTCGGCGCGCGCGTCTCCCTCTTGGATCGCGTTCGTGGCCTGTGCATGCGTACCGGGATGCCACCATGGTAACGGAATTACACGCCGGGATGCGTCTCGTAAGAAACGGCACGTAATGACGCGGGGCGGATCGTACGGTCTCCAACGCGCCTTTTGCGCTTCAATTCACCGCCCTCGCCATTGGCGCCTTGGCCCTGTCCACCGAGTCTTGCATCGGCGCAGCTGCGCGTGCTGTCCCAGCTTCAACGTTCGCTTGTCCCAGTCGCCACCCAGTCGATTGTTTAAAACACCATCACCGAAGCCATCGTACCTCGGTCTTTGTATCCAGTGGCTTCGGGACGATTCGGGTTGAATCAAACAAACAACCCAGATCTCGCCGCGTGGCGTGCTCTCTGATTCGCGCCAATTACTCGCACGACGGGCAAATACAGAACGGACGACCGTCTGCATCATGCTCTCAATAATAGTACCCCCTTCGAGGCGCGTTCCCCGCGTGCTGTGGGCGCGCGCTACACCGACCTCGTGCACGACGCGAAATAAGATCGGCTACCGGACTAAGATCTTAGAAATCATTTTAAAAACGCCGCCATTAAAATACAACCCCGCGAACTGGGTCGATCTGGCCCTCTCCCAACCGTCTTGGCGTTTGTATGCACAGGATTAGCAACAGCTGCGCCCGTCGCGCGGTAACCAATCAAGTGCGGCCGTCGGCGCCATAGCGTGAGTAAGTCAGTGTCGAGAAGCACTCACAGAGTCTGTTACGAGTTACTTCGTCATTCGCCAATTTCCACAGTCACGAACACACGTTGACTCGTACTCGAGGTACTCGATCATTACTGCGCTGCCGTGTATCAATCGACGTGGTAGCATGAACGACAGCAACAAGCCGCTCAGCCTCTCGCCCCGCAACCTCGGCATGGACGACCTCCGCGACTTTTGCGGCCCGCTCGGTGTCTTCAAGACGGGCCTCACGCCGCGCTTCACGACCGGCCTCACGCCCCGGACGGGCTTTACGCCGCGCACGGGCTTTACGCCCCGCGACTACATGTCGCGCCAGCATGGCGGCTTCCCGCTCTCGCCGCGCGCGAGCATGGGCATGGGTGGCCACATGTCGTACTCGCCGAAAGGCCAGGGCATGCCCAAGGCCGGCGGCCGGTACCCTGGCCCGCCGCACGGCAGTGGTATGCAATCCTACTTGCAGATGGACGGCCACCAACCCTCTATGAAACCAGATCCGCATATGAACCCGGACATGATGCACCCGCTCATGTACGAGTATCTGAACCGGAACCAAGGTGGCCACGGTGGGCCGCAGCACCCTGGTCAGATGATGCACCACCACAATGGTGGCCCGCCCCGTCGATGGGCAACGTCTCGGGTGTCTCGAACGGGTCCGGTGGCATGCACTCGCCGCGCGGCTCGGACGCGATGGAGAAGCAAGACGAGCTCGACGCGCGCCGCCGCATGAAGAACCGCGAGCGTGTCCGCAAGTGCCGTAAGCGTAAGCAAGATCGTCTGAACTTTCTCGAAGATCGCAACAACGAGCTCGAGAAGGAGAACAGCGACCTCAAGACCAAGATCATGCGCCGGGGCGACGGTAGCCCCATCAACAAGGCGATGACGGAAGAGGCGCTCATGGAGCTCCGTGCCAAGCAGACCAACACGCTGCAGCTCATCCAGGCCATCATCAACGAAGGCATGATGTCGTTCGAGGCCTCGGCCAAGAGCGTGTGGACTCCGAACGCCACCATTATGGACGGCGTCACGGGCGAGAAGCTCACCAACATTGACTCGATCGTCGAGAACAAGCGCATCTCGGCCAGCGTCTTCTCCAACTACAAGATCAAGAACTTCTCGGTCGAATGGCAAGGCCACGAGAAGGCCATGGTCAAGTGGGACATTGAGGCGTCGCTGCGCCCGAACGCCCCGTCCTCGATCGTGCTCTCGTCGCCGTTCCATCAGCTGGCGCCCCACTACAACAACGAGATGTTCCCGTTCTACATGGTCTCGCACATGACCTTTAACGGCGACAAAGTCACGGAAGAAGTGCGCTTTGTCGACGTCGCCAAGCTCCTCGCGGTCGTCGCCCCCAAGATCCGCGAGCCGGCCAAGCTCATCGACGTGGTCAACGCCGTCGCGTCGACGTCATTATAAGCATCCCCCACACACGACCACGTATGAAGAAAGCCCACCACCGCGTATTGGTACCTTAGGATTAGAGACTAGTCGATGTAGATGTCAACAAATGGAATGATTCCTTAGCTTATTATTGTCCAAGCAAGTACGATATCTACATGTTGAGCAGCTCGTCGAGCTCGTCGTCCAGAGCGGCGTGCGTCGGAGGTGGCATCGCCTTGGCCACAACCACGACTGGTTTGTTGGGCAGCACCGGGACCGCGGGCTTGGCCACCACCGTGGCAGGTTGGGGCGCCGCAGCTACCGCGGGCTTGGCCACAGAGGCAACGGGTGCCGTCGGGACCGCTACGGTGGGCGTCGGCGTGAGCTGCAATGTGGATTTCACAGGGCTTGTAGGCGCTTCAAAGGCCAGATCTATCTGCGAGGTCGTCATGTATGGGATGGTCGCAACACAGGGACGTACGCAGAACTTGGGGTCAATGCCGTAGCGCGTTGCGGGCGGTAGCGTGTTGAGATGGTCGCCAATCGCCTTGAAGTCCTACAGAGGTATGATGCATGAGGCATGGCAAGCGTGTGAATATGTGAATATGGCCCGTACCAACGACACGTCGTTGGGCTTCATGGCCTCGAGGTCGGCTTCCCACTCGCGCTCGGTCTTGGACTGGAAGTAGCCGATGCCACCCGTGCTGGTCGACGCCGGCATGTGCTGGATATCGGGGTTGTAGCGCAAGTCCCGCTTCCCCGCCGTCGGCGGCTCGTCGGCGTCGTCCTCGAGTTCATTCTCGTCCACGGTCTCTTCCTCCTGGAAGCGGTACGCATTGCTCTCGAGGTTGCGCAGGTGCGCAGGCACGCGCTCGCCACGACCGGCCGGCCCCACCCCGCGACCGCGGCCGCGCCGGTACTGCAGTTGCGATCGGCCCATTTTTCACGCCAGCGGTGGAAACGTCGACTGAAAAGGTTAAATAGGTTTTATACATGCGTTTTATTCGCCTCCTCCATGCACCTTCGCCAAGCCTCAAGCATGCACGCGTATATCATCCGACACCGGTCGCAAGCCAGCAACGCAGACGAGCAGCTGGACCCGATCCTCGCCTGCGATCACCCGCGACGCTGTCGACCACAACCCACTGCACAGCTCTACTATTAGTACAGCACAGCTCTACTGCACTGTCGGAGTACAATCGAACCAGCGACTAACTAACTCGACGCTACCAAGTATACTGTTGGCACGTGCACGGGCGTCGATCCAACAACGATGCAGCGTCTGCCCCGCTCTTCCTCCTCAACAAGTTGTTGGCGTTCTCGCATTCTTCAAGAAACAGGTCAACGTGTCTCTTCCTGGCAACACTCCGACTAAAGTTCCTACTAATAAAGTAGAAGGGGTGCGGGCGCAGACAAAAGGGGCATCGACTAACGTAGCAGTGTACAGTGTAGTGACGACGAGGGCTTGGCCATAATACTACCCGGTAGTAGCCGCCATCACATGGGCATAATGCTAGTCGACACGGAAAGACTGTCGTTGGGTTTAGTTGATGCGCGTAGTCGTTTAGTCGCAATGGCAACTTTACTGAATGGTTCAACGTTATGACCGTCAGCGGCGTCGCGTTATCCGGATCGGGTGCGTCCACGTGCGGCGTGTCTTTTTAGTCGGTGGAAAAAACTAATTTGGGCGACCATGCCGATTTCGTACTGCGTTGTCGCCAACAAGCACTGCGCGCTCGCCGAGTGCGAGTACCACGCGGGCGGGCCGCCGCCGTCGGGCACCAAGAAGGTCAAGGAGATCGCCGAGCAGCTCGCGAAGAAGCTCAACTTTGAGAAGCGCGAGCTCGAGATGGACGCGATCGACTGCGACGGCAAGACGTACAGCTACCTCGTCGACGACGAGATCGCCTACATCTGCGTCGCCGACGCGTCCGTGGGCAAGGCCGCGGTCACAGCCTTCCTCAAGCACATCAAGGTTCAATTCGAAGAGCAGTTTGGCATCCGCGGCAAGATGACCAAGCTCAAGCTCGACATGCAGCGCGACTTTGCGCCGATGCTCAAGACCAACATGGAGATGATGTCGTCCAAGGGCGGCATGCAGAAGCTCGACGCGCTGCGAAAGGACCTCGACAACGTCAAAGAGTCGATGCAGGCCAACATTGGCAAGGTCCTCGAGCGCGGCGACAAGATCGAGCTCCTCGTCGACAAGTCCGAGTCGCTCAAGTAGGATGATGCCCTCTCCTCCTCTATCTCTTCATGCTGCGAGGCTTAGCTCGTCGGCCGACGCGTTTGCCAAGTCGAGCCGGGATCTGCGGCGCGCGCTCTGGCTGCAAAACGTCAAGATGTATGTCTGCGCCGCCCTCGTCGCCATCGTACGATCCTCATCCTGACGCCCGAGCCCCTCGACTTGACCGCTCTTGTAGGTGCTATTGGTGTTTATGGTGCTCTACTTTAAGAAGAAGACTGGCTCGTCCGAGACCTCGACGGCGCTGTAAATCCGTTAACCCCTGTTTTTATTCGACTTTTACGTGGGCGAGCGGGACGCGGCTGACGCAAAGTCCCGCGACGGCGAGGACGCCGCTGCAGGCCACAAAGATCGTCGAGTCGGGCGTCGTCTCGGCGAGCGCCGTGCCGAGAAGGACGAGCACGTTGGTCGGCAGTCGAAAGAGTGAGAGGACTGTGCTGAGACGCGCATCGCCAAAGTACTGCGCGCGTAGCGTCGCCGAGCACGGGAAGAAGACACCGACGCAGACCTAATAGCGTTCCGACGCCCAGCTCTTGGAAAATCCTCGTACCTCGAAGAGGAGAAACGCTGTAAAGACTGGCGCGAGCTCCGATGTGACCTACGACGAGAGACATCGTGCGAGCGCAGCGCGAATCGACGCGTACCGCAGGCGTCGCCAAGCAAGCACTCGAGACGAGGGCGACGACCGTCGCGACAAGGGCCGCGTCGAGCTGCATGTCTTGCGCCATTGCAAACAGCTTTCCACCGAGGGCGATGCACAGCATGAAGCTGGCGAAGACCAAGCCCGTGGGCAGTGGCGACGTTATCGCCTGCAGCGACGGGACCCAGAGAAAGACTAGCAAGCAGCCATCGTCCTCGTTTCCAATGTATAGCGTCGACGTACCAAAGTTGTACATGGCGCCTTCGTACAAGCTTGCAGCGAGGCCAATCAAAAGCATGTCGGCCGTGACGAGCCGTCGTATCGAGGCCAATGCGACGGCCGAGGACGATGACGTCGCCCGCGCGTCGACGTTCTCGGGCCACCGAAGAATGCAAAGCCCGGCGAAAAACGTGACGAGCAGCGCGACCTGGAAGGGGGCAATGTCGCCGAACCGATCGGCGGCGATTTGCGCCACGATCCCCGCGACGATGGCCACGAGACCGCTGATCTCGGACGCGAGCGCAAACGTCGAGCTGAGCAGCGGTTCTGGAAAGTCTACGCCACACCTGTCACATGCTAGCACTGGGAACGTCGGGTAGTACGTCGCTTGCGATGCTCGGTGACCATCCAGCTCTCAAAGGCCGAGAAGAGCAGCGCCGTCGAGAGACCGCCGAGGACGCGACCGAGCGCAAGCAGACCAAAGTGTGGGACATGCTCGAGCACATTGATGACGAGCTGCGGGTGTTCCATGAGACGCTGATAGGAATGGAGAGAGAGGATCGATTACCTCGAGGGCCACGTAGACCAAGCACGCGCGCTTGCGGCCATAGATGTCGACGTAGCGCCCCACAAAGCTGCTGGCGACGGCGGACGAGAGGAAGCCGAGCATGAAGAGCTTCCCGACGTCCATGCCATAGCTCTAGCTCGTAGCTTAGCACAACCTCGATGATGGAGTCGTACCTGGTAGAGCGTGTACATGTTGGGGCCTTGCAGCCAGTCGGCCAACATGACGAGGCCATGCACGCCGAGGTACTCGCGCTGAAACGCAGCAAAGCCCGGCGGCCTGGCGTCGACCGCCGATTGCCGCCGCCACGCGCTCCACACGTGCATACAGGCTAGCGCAGCTCCAAGGCCCGCGCATGGGTAGCTCGCCCACGTCGGCCATGGCGCTGCCTGCACCATCCTCGTCGTTGTCGCTCTGTCCGAGAAAAGATCGAGTCCTTCCAGCAATGTAGGTTAAACCCTTTAACCGGTAGCGTTGTCGCAGCCTCGCCTTGACTGCAGATACTGCTGCATCGTCAGGACCAGAGCCAACACTGTCAACCGATATCCATGCTACTACCATGCCTGGAGTCCTGGTACTGTAGCTGTTGTAGTGTGTGAGCTGAAGGCATCGATAGCGTTGTCTGTCGATGAGTTTGACGTCGCCAAAAAGCGCGCTAAACGTTTCGTATCCGGAGGCTGTCCGGATGGCCCAGGACCAATCGTGCAGCTTTGTATTCCAGCTTGGCTCGGGCCGATGGCGACGACGACCGAGGTGCACTGGTCCAAGACCGAGTATGGCCTGGACCTGGACCCGACGCTCTGCAAGAACCTCGAGGCCTCGGGCATTCACTCGTTCTTTCCGATCCAGCACATTACGATCCCCAAGATCCTCGCCACGGGCTACACCAAGGACCTCTGCATCAACGCGCCGACGGGCAGCGGCAAGACCATGGTCTACTGCCTTCCGATCGTGCAGCGCCTTGTGAACCGCGTCTTTCGCCGGCTCCGCGCCGTCGTGATCGTGCCCAGTCGCGATCTCGTCGTGCAAGTCAAGAAGGTGCTCGACGGCCTCGTGCTCGGCACCCCATTGACGGTCGGCGTGGCCATGGGCCAGTCCAACTTTACGGCCGAGCAGCGGACGCTCACGGATGCGAAGGGCAACAGCCTCGTCGACATCCTCGTTGCGACGCCCGGTCGTCTCGTGGACCACCTCGAGCAAACGCCGGGCTTTACGCTCCAGCACGTGCAGTTTGTCGTCGTCGACGAGGCCGATCGCCTCCTGAACCAGTCGTACCAGGACTGGATCACAAAGCTGTACAACAGCATCTACGTCACCGAGTCGTCGCTCGAGAGTACATCCTCCCATTATTCGATGATTCCATCGTCTCTTTTGTAGACTTGAACCGAGGGACGGCGCTGCACCCGGCGACGATTCGCCGGCCGGACGGCAAGAACCCGCACCGCATCCGCATCCCGCTCATCCGCATTCTGCTCTCGGCGACGCTGACGCGCAACCCGCGCAAGCTCGCGGCCATCGGCATGCCCCACGCCGAGCTCGTCACGGTCAACGAGGAGCTCAACGTCGCGTCCGAGTCCAAAGTCAACCTCTTTGCGACGCCCGCCAACCTCGAGGAAGGCATGGTCGAGTGCGAGGCCGCCGAGAAGCCGCTCGTGCTCCTCGAGCTCCTCCACAGCTTTGGCGACCAGCTCACGATCATCTTTACGTCGTCGATCAACGCGACGCATCGTCTCTGCCGCCTCCTCCAGCTGTATGCAACCAACCCCGAAAGTACGTGACTCCGTCGTATGTGCACCTAAGATCTTACTCTGCGTAGGCGTCCGCGAGTACTCGAGTACGCTCAACCAGAAGCAGCGGTCGCAGCTCGTGCAAGCCTGCCACCGCGGAACGATCAAGATCGTCGTGTGCTCGGACGCCATGGCGCGTGGTATGGACATTGCACACGTCGAGAACGTCGTCAACTACGACGTTCCGCCCTACATCAAGACGTACATCCATCGTGTCGGTCGTACGGCGCGTGCGGGCCGCGCGGGCCGCGCCGTGACGCTGGTCAAGAAGGGCCAAACCAAGGGCCTCTCGCGCATGCTGGCCAAGGCCGAGAAGGCGCCGCTGCCCGTGTATCCCGTCGACGCCGAGCACATGCAGACGCTCGTGCCCCGGTACACGGTCTGCCTGGCCTCACTCAAGGAGACGCTTGCCAAGGAGAAGGCGGGGCACCTCGGCCTCACCACCGGTGTCTCGCTCAAGCGCAAGCTCCACGACGACACCGACGACAAGAGCAACGACCAGGCCATGGCCGACGGCGACGAGGACGACGC